TTGAACCATTTAAAAATCATGTTAGTTTCTACATTTTTAACTCTGGTGCTTCACACAGTTATTTACTGATTTATAAACCTGTAATTGCTTGGCTTGTGCAGTTTTGCTGAAGGCACTGGTCATAATGCATTTCATTCCATGTCCTTATTAATTTATAATTATAACTGTAAACATACAATTTGATCATTATATTCATGTGAATTTACCTATGCTAAATGCTTCCTTTACCCTGTCCTTGCAGAATATATTGAATATCATTTTTATTTTACAGCTGGCAGAACCACAACAAGTGAAGAACTAGAAGACATGTTAGAGAGTGGGAACCCGGCCATTTTCTCCTCGGGAGTACGTGAGCTATAACAAAAACTATATAATGAGTGTGCACTGCCACTTTTGCTGCCTACATGTCGCATACCGTCAACTAAATAATAAAATGAAGATTCACATTGTGGAACAATTTATTGCTGCAGACTTCCCCCACAACTCAGAAGATGCCACTCGATGACTAGTTGTCCTAGGTCTAACTGTGACCCTGATTTTTGTGTTACGATAATATTTTGATGATGTGACCTCCGTTACAGTCTCTTGGCAGCTCAGATTCACGCTAACTTGTTTTGTCTTTGTAGATCATCATGGACTCAAGCATCACCAAGCAGGCTCTGAATGAAATCGAGACTCGGCACAGCGAAATCATTAAATTGGAGAACAGCATCCGCGAGCTGCATGACATGTTTATGGACATGGCAATGCTGGTGGAGAGTCAGGTGTGTATGGTCTTCTACTCGGATGGGACCCGGACCTTGTTGGTAGAATACATCATTTACAATGCAGATTGTTAGACATAATTTTGTATCCCAAATTTTCTGCAATTACCATGAGGGAGGGTGTGGGGTGGATCAATGTTACCTGTTACAGTATTAATATATATAAAATGGAGGTGCTCTGGTTAACCTTGCCATTTGGGCAATGGGTTTCTGACCTACCCTCCTGTGTTTGCTTCCCATGCTGCATGTGCGATGAGAGCTCAGCTGGTAGGTATTGCTGTTTTATTGGGGGTTTTTTTGTTGTTGTTGTGGTGTGATAATGTTAAGTGTCATTCCAGCATGCCGGTCACCTTTCTGAATAAATGTCTTTTGTCTAAAACGGCAACTTGTTTCTTGGCACACAACGTAACATTCATCTCTGGTGGGTGCTAAGTTTACGCATGCTTATTCTGCTTTGCTTGAATATAAGAATTAGGTTACTTATATAAATCCCTGGCACTCCCGGCTAGATTCGGTCCATTCTTCTTTTTTTCTTCAATGTAATATATAGATAGGGCTTAGAAAACATATGCCAGAACAGTAAATACAAAATAAAGGAAAAATAAGAAGTAATTAAATTTGAGGTTCCCGCATTTGCTGCACAACCCCAAGTTTTGCAGCATGTGATGTGAGCTCTTACCAAACCAGGCAGTGATCAATGCTCACAAGGTGGATGACCCTAATGGTAATTCAATTATATAGAATATGTCTCAGATATTTCCCACAATGCCTAGTTAGCATGTGATAATGTTAGTCTAGGTAGGTGATAGTTGGCATGAGGAAAACCGACATTATACTACCCATCTGCAAACCCAGGCCTTAGCAGTTTCTATTTCTCTATATCAGGGGTGCCCAAAAGGTAGATCCCCAGATGTTTTAAAACGGCAGCTTCCATGATGATTTGTCATTCTAAATGCAATTAGCAAGGCTGGGCAGCATTATGGATGCTGTAGTTTTAAAACATCTGGGGATCTACCTTTTGGGCAACCCTGCTCTACATCCAATATATCTACACTTGTTAGTTCACATATTGCTCAGCTACTTGTTTGTTAGTCTATCTGTTGTACAGCTCTGTGGAATATGTTGATGCTTTATAAATAACAATAAATAATGACAAAACTGGAAGAAGAAACTGTTTCTGCTTCGCAAACAGTACTCTTTAATTGTGTGTAAACATTCTAAAGGGTTTTGCTGATGTGATGTTCTGTGTATGTCGTGCTTGGTTTCCCCTCTGCATGTGTGTGATTTAATCTGCATGTTGTGCCTTTGGTTTTTGTTACGTAGTCCATTGCTCGGATTTCAGTCACCTGACCTGCTGTTTGTCTTTACACGCAGGTTATAGCTTATCGGAGCAGCAGGTGGGGTTGAAAATCACCCACAGAAGAACAGGTAACCAGCGTGGCGAGAAGGTTTAATATCCAATATATTAAGATTCTCTTTTTCTCTGGCCCTCCTCTGTTGTCCCTCACTTCTTGCATCACTTCTTGGTCTCTCTGTTGTCTTTCTGCACGCTTCTTCTACTTTCTATTCATTACCCTTCATGTATGTCTTGTCAATCTCATAACATCTTTCACGTTTCTTCATGTCTCTTTTTCTGCCAAATCTCGGTTTATCTTTTTTCTCTCGACTTTGCCTGATGCTTCTTCTAATCTCATTCCACGATTCTGTTTTCATTCTCCGTTCTCTTAAATTCTCTTTTTCCACTCTCTGTGTACACATTGTATCACTCTGATCTCACTCAATACTCAATGCTCCACTTTGAGTCGTGTTTCTCCTGCTTCTCTCTATATGGTTCTCTCTCTTTCATGGTCTTTATGTCTCCTGTTTCGATGTCTTCCCAATCTCTCCTGCTCTTTCTTTTCGGCCTTTTCTTTTTCTCCCGTTCCCCGTCTTCCCTTTTATGCATCACTACCAGGGAGAGATGATAGACCGTATAGAGTATAATGTGGAACACGCCGTGGATTATGTGGAAAGGGCCGTCTCTGATACCAAAAAGGCCGTCAAGTACCAGAGTAAAGCTAGGAGGGTGAGTATGTGCTTTTAAGCAACGCTTGTATTAATATCAGCAATGTAATTTTACATCTGAATTTCTATCCTTTCATTTTGCTGGTGTTACACAAATTCAGCAAAGTCAAACATTTAAAAGGATTGAATTCAGTTTAAAAGATTAATGTTTTAGCACAAGGATAGATGCAGAACATACCCATCTGTGTTTACCAAATTCGCAAGGCTGGGCAGCAATTGGATTTTTAATAAAATTATAGAGTGCAGTTTTGACCTATCTTACCATGGGTCCTGGCTCATCGTGAGAATATAAATGCATTTGAAACCATTATGTTTATTGTGACTGCTTTTAGGTGACATTATGCAGTTGCAGTGCAGTAAGAGGGATTGGATAGCAATTCTTCTCTATTTATTAACTCAATATGTAGAAAGTTTATGTTTATGTTGTAGTTATTGATAAAAAGCTGTTTTTCCAAGAGTGGTCAGCTTAATTTTGTATTTAACTAAATACAAAATCACAATACCTAGGAAATGTAGACATCTCATTTGCAAACAATGACCTTTACATATTTGGTTTACTTTTACAGAAGAAGATAATGATCATTATCTGCTGTGTGGTACTTGGTATTGTCATCGCATCAACTTTTGGAGGAATTTTCGGATAGGGGCAGCAGTAGGTCGCATGTTCTGGACATATGGCAGAAAAAAAAGTGGCACATGGTGCGAGCCACACCTGTTAATGGGGGACTGACCGCGAAAACACGCTTCCCGATTGGAGAGCCCCTCTGCATGACAACCCTGTGTGTAACCCAGCGCACGTACCCAGAGAGCGATTCACTTTTCTGTATGGGAGGGGGAGGAACAGTTATAATGACGTAAGATCACTGACAACACATGGGTTGCGAAGTGATGCTCCTCTGTTCTTCTCATCAAGAAGAGCGTTTTTTTTTAAATTAATTTTTTTTGTTTCTTGTTGTTGGTTTTCTTAATATTTTTTTTTTTCTAAAGACAGATCCAGCCAGGTGCTTTTAGGGATCAATATAAGGTTAGACCTCCAGCACTGCCTTTGTATTCTGTCCCAGTGCCCACCAGATGCCTTTTGGGTTTGGAGCTAGATTTGTCTCTGCCAAGGTCAACTTAGACACCAGTGTTGGGCCAAGATGCCAAGCACAGTCAACAGTTATTTCTTTTACTTAGGCCCCGAACATTCCTCCCCCTCTATAAAGCAAAAAAACAACAACTTGGGGACAGCGCGTTGGACAGACCATGTTGGCCTCCCCTTTGCATGATAGGGTCTCAGTGTTTGGTTAAACTATTCAAGGTTGGAGTCTGTTTAGTGTGATCCTTTATCATTACCTCTCCTGGAGAGGGGCACATCCCTTTTTGGGTTCTTTTTATTTTTGCTATTTGTTTTTGTTTGTTTTTTTAAATTAAGTGCATACATTCCATTTTTGCAATTTTGTGAGCAAGGTGTCAACCTCAATGTCTCTCTCAAACCCACGTATGCAGAATTGATATGTGAAGCAAGTCCAGAGTCATTGAAGCTGTGAAGATGTCGCAGTAGGGCAGTGCAGCACCATCCGTTGAGTTTGTGATGGTTAACTAAGCCCTGATGTGCCTTACAGCTTGTACCAGTCAGGAGTTAACCCTTTCAGGGCTGCAAAGCGTTTTTTACAAGGTCTTCCCAACCCTGAAGGGATTAATCACCAGCATGCTTTTGTGCAGAGAGTTTTATATTTGGTGTTTTATCTCCCTGGTGTAATTTGTCTGCACCCCTTGTGTGGCATTTAATAAATTATGTGAGTTTGGGAAGATGCAAGAAATCAGAGTTGGCTCTTTTGTTAAAAAGCACACGTTTGATTGCCAGTCTTATCTTTTTAGACACTAGATTAATTTACTTTTTGGTCCATTAAATTAAACAATACTTACACTTATGAACACTGTTAAAAGGTATATTTGAAACAGCACATGCAAGCTCCAAGATGCAATATTGATTATTAAAGTAATAATACTGTGAAAGCTGATAATTTAATTAACATTCCAAGCAACTTAACCACTACACCCTGCTGCAGTGGTTATAGTGCTAGAAGTGCCCTGGCACCTTCATATCACAATCTGGTAAATCATTTTAGCATGGTTTGAAACGTCACTGGGTGCCACCAGGTGGAAGCTTGAGATCCTGTCCTGAAGAAACTGGAATCTGACTTCTCCAGTTGGAAGACTGGAACTCGTATGGGCACCAGGTGGACCCAAGAAGGTTTCAAACCATGCAAAATATTTTGACAGATTAGGCTGGGACAGTGCCGTGGCAGTTCTTACACCATGACCATTAAAGCAGTTAGTTTGCTTGGAGTATTAGTTTAAAATGCTCTGTCTAGATCAGCGGTTTCCAACCCAGTCCTCATAGACCACCAACAATCCAGGATTTATGTATTTCCCACTGGTCTAGATAAACCATAGACTCCTCCTATTATTTCTGCTAAACACAAAAGTAAAGAAATATAGAAGAATAAAATGCTGCTTCCCCAAGGTTCTCATTGTAAAATGGGAATATACTCTTGAACGGCTCAACAAAACAAATATATGTGTAAGGGAGAATGAAGTCCAAGCACAGGCAAAAAAGGGGGGCACCAAAAAACAAAAATAACATGACCTGAACGTATTTCACGTCTATAAAAGAAACTTTGTTTGATAGACGAGAAACGCGTTCAGGTCACTTTCTGTTTTGTGGTGTGTGCCCCCCTTTTTTTTTTTACTTTGAACTTTATTCTACATTTCACATATATTTGTTTTATTTTTTTTTCTTCTGCGTGTGCTATCTTTTCACAATAAAGAAGTAATTGCAAGAAATAACTTCCTGATGATTTTCCTGGGAGAATCAGTGACTGCTGTAAACACTCGTTTTGTTTGGATCATCAAAATAGTTTTCAGGCTTAGAACAAAATAGCAAACCATTATTTCTGTGAAGGATGCATCATGCTTAAAACATTATAAATCATATGACAGAGGGGTCCAAGAGAAGAGCCTATCTGGTGGTAGGGGCCCAATGTAAGGTCCTTCTGGCTGTATCATCTGAATCAACAGCCCAGAGACATTGGCGTTTATTGGATGAAGCCATAAAAGACGACTCTTTGAGAAACTCTTCTTTACTTAATGAACATCTAAGGACTGCAGATGAGTTTTTGTCTAATGCTTCATAAGCGGTGCTCAAGGTTGCAGCAAATTCTCTGGTGTTTACAATAGAAGCTTGCAGAGCATTATGACATAAACCCTGAGTTTCAGACTCAACAACATGTTCAAGTGCTTTGTACTAGCTATTTTGATGGGGGGTGCTTATTTTCGATCCTATCTTGAGGTCATCATTAAAAAAAAAAAAATTTGATTGTGAGAAAGTTCTTATATGGGATAGATCGTGTAAGTAGGACAGATTTCTTTTATTATTTTTTTTTTATAGAAGGAATGAGAGACAAAGAAAGAGACCATTTTAAATAACATTTTGCTGCCAAGTTATCTGAAATAACAGTGGGTAGAATATTGTTTTATTACTTCAACAATAACAAAGTACAACAGCTGTTTTTGGATATTTAATATAAGAAGAAGCTACAAGGGCTTTTGAAGATCCAATTGTGGGCAAAACAATCCAGGCCTAATCTGACAACTCTACAACAGTCTCAGTATATAAACCATCAAAGTTGAACAACATCTATAATTTTTCTAGACCTCCAAATTCTGGAGTGGGCAAAACCAAGCATACTCGTTTCTCAGCAGTCCAAAATAAGAGTGTGGAGAATGTAATAACAGTAGTATCCATGAGGCGACTGGTTATTAAATTAGGCATTTTACAGCAGACCATCCTGTGGTCATGACCATAACCCACAAACCTACTTTGTAGGAAACAGGCAATGAACTGATCTTCAAAGGACAATATTAATCAGTCAGCAATTTCTACAATACATATTCTGAAATTTGGTTTCACAGAGACGGTTCCCAGTTGTGTGCAAGAACTAGTACAATCAAAGTACAGAACTTCAGTGCATCCTGGCAAAAATATATAACTTTATCCCTATAGAGAGGATCCCTAAAAATAATAAAGAAAGTTCATACAAAATTGGACAAAGACTTTATTAAAATCAGAAGTATTTAAGGACTCAATCAGTAGAAAATAATAATAAACCCATCACCTAACAGAAGAAAATATATACATATGGAGATCTCAGTGTATGGAGTGACTGTAGGGAGGACATATGTTTATAATTCCAGAAAGGAAAGTGGCCCGGCAATATAAACCACAATTGAGCCTTAAAAAAAATAACAAAGAGCACTGTTACAAAAAATGCCACTTAATTAGTGTAGATACTCACTGGGAGTCAAACTATTCGTCTGTCTTGATATATTGAGGTAAGTAGGTATCAATCGAGTCTCCGCAACACTAACAGTAGCAGTGATTAGGTATAATTTATTAACTATATTAACCCAGGAGACTTGGGGGAACGGTTAAAATAAACCATAAAAACCCCACAACTAACTAATGAAAAAAGAAAAACATTGATTTGTAAAGGATAACTTATGCCTAATGCTAAAAGTATATATTGTAAAGCATATAGCCTCATAATACCACAGGCTGGATTTCCAACATAAGGATGTATCTGAGAGCTACCAAACCGTTTTCCTGGCACTGCAGGTCCCCTCCCCCATCCCAAGTTGCTGAAGGGGTTAAAACCCTTCAGTGACTTACCTGTAGCCAGTGCCGTTGTCCCTCGGCGTTGGGTCAGGGTCCGCCCACGCTCCTCCCCCGCCGACGTCATCTTGCGGGGAGACCTATTGAGCATGTGCGGCCGCCGGCGGGGGAGACCTGATGCGCATGTGCGCCTATGCCGCGCACGCGCATTAGACCTCCCCATAGGAAAGCATTGAAAAATGCTTTCAATGCTTTCCTATGGGGATTTCAGCGACGCTGGAGGTCCTCACATAGCATAAGGACGTCCAGCAAGGTTATAGCACACTTTTCATGTGCTATAAACACGGAAGTGCCCTCTAGTGGCTGTCTTGTAGACAGCCACTAGAGGAGGAGTTAACCCTGCAAGGTAATTATTGCAGTTTATGAAAACTGCAGTAATTACACTTGCAGGGTTAAGGGTAGTGGGAGTTGGCACCCAGACCACTCCAATGGGCAGAAGTGGTCTGGGTGCGTGGAGTGTCCCTTTAACCGCCTTTTTACCTTGCATTTCTTAAGGCTCTCTTATCAATGTTTAAAAAGATTCAAAAGGTAGCTTTGGAATTACACATCCCAAAAAGTTGGATTATAGCTAGAGACTCCTAGTGTCAATGTTATGTACAGCCCAACACACAGTGTATGAACCCACCAAAAAGGGACAGTCAGAAAAGAAAAGTAAGTACGTATACCAGTTATTAGAGTGGCTGGGTTAAATGAGCGTAATAGGTAAAGGGAGGTCAAAAACAAACCAAAGTCAAGCTGAAACAAGTAATCAGATACTCAAGAAATATATCCAGATCAGGGATGTCAAAAATCAGACTAGTTAGAATAGGGATAGCCAAGTCAATAAAACAGAAATATCAAAAGAGTACTATAAAGCCGCTATTGGGGCACAGAAAACTAAGAAACACCAAGATTTATTGCATGACATCACTGGTACTGTGTTCTAAAAGGAGGTGGGATCGCAGTGGCCAGTGTCTCTGCCAGAAGCATCCAGATTGGGCAAGGTGGTGGTCCACCAGATTGGGATGCCACGTGATTGGCGGACAGGCAAGGGGAGTGCTGGCTTCCATACAGATCCACTGGCAGTCATATTGTATTGAGTGGTCCACAAAAAGGCCAGTACAGAGCTGGTGCCAGAAATTATTTGCCTAAAGAGTTTAACCGATTAAGTACAGAATTCTAAGCAATGTTTCTGTGCTTTTTTAGAATAGCAGAATATTCAAGGATATATTAGTTAATAGGTGGAGGAAATGCTTATGACTACTAGATAGGAGTAAAGAATGTTTGTTTGTTTTTTAAAACTTGTGGCAAAATTGGAAATCGCTTCAAATTGGATTTGTATGCCTTCTTTTGGATCAACAAATATAATATAAATATGTGGAAGGCTGAACATGATAGCTTCGAGCCTTATTCAACCTATATTAATGTAACTATATTTTACAGCACTGTACAATGAGTAACACAAACAAAGCAAATGAGGACAAACATGTTAAGGTGAATGGAATGTGGAAGTAAAGAGGAACCAGTCAGATGTGCAACCATATTCGGCAGGTTTATGAAAGCCCCAACTCTTGGCTCTCCAGTGAGATTGTTTGTAGAACATGATGAAAATGGCTATTTCAATGTTCCTCTTACAGGAGACAAATGACACTAACTAATACTAGATCAGGTGCATTTACATTGTTATTCACGAGAGGAAGAGGGGCTGGAAGGAGAGAACAAAAGTAAATAAAAAATATTTACCCAATGTAGAGGAGAATTAAGACTAAGAGAGGGGTAAGTCCAACCATGAGATGAAGGAAAAGAGACAAATAAGGTGGGGGGGGGGGGACACAAATATTGTCAAAGAATAGTGCCACAAACCTAAACCACAAAGAATAGGATTTGCAAGCCACAAGTCCTACATTTTCTGAAAGACTATGGGTAAGCCATGGATCACCACTGGCATCCTATCCATTTCCAGATCTTTCTTACTGTTTTAATGACTAAATTCATGGAAGGGGGTTGGCAGTCAGCCATCAAACACACCCAAGCGCTTAAAGCCAACAGTGTAATATTTGCAGCCAATAAGTGGAAGCGGTGTCTAGGTTTGTAAAGTAAAATTGCATAAGTGGAGACGTTTTCCTAACAGTCTGGAGGTGACATCCTCACCAGCAATGGATGTAAGTTGCTCTTTCTCTACAATGCTTCCAGCATAAATCTGTCTCCTTGCTATACATTTTGAAGAGCCAAAACACTGTGAGGTGCGTTCTTGATCGTGATGGGTAACAAAATTGCAAAAATATTACAACCACTTCATATTAATGAAGTGGTTATGATGCCTGGAGTCCCCTGATACCATCTTACCTTCAAGTGTGAAACTGTTTTTGAACCGTATAACACTGAGGAAGTATCTACAGGCATTAGTCTTCTGCCTCTCCTCCAATGCTCAGGATAATGTGGAACCATTAGCTCAAGCAATGAACAGGTGGCAGTGATAGACTGAAAGCATTAGCTTCTTATGTTGTCTTCAAACAATATGTGGTTTTCTATATGTCCTGCCAATGACTCGGTTTCTCACGTGTGCGTAGATATGTTTCCTGTGGTGCAAGCAGATTAATGAGCCCTGGAACAAGAGATCCACCAAATGGCCAATGACTGTCCTCAAAGATGGCAAACATGGTGAGGGTTAGACTTGGGATGGGTAAAACTTAAAATAAATGTAAACTGAAAAGGGGGTTCATTTTTTTTTTTTTTATTCTTTATTTTTGAGTGCATGGTTAATTACAAAACAGCCCGCCTGGCCACAACAGCCTTGCGGGTTTTGATTATTAGATGACATCACAACATAGTTAAGGCATACTTTTATCTGTTGATTCCAACTTGTAATGTCAGCTAGATCTGCACATTTTTATTTACATGTCAACTGGTGTTTGGGTCACCTGATGGTACCCTGGTGCCTCGGATTGATTTGGATTTTCGTCGATTGTTCGGAGCTCTGTGTAAGTGCGTCCGTTCAGGTTTGGCTCCAGGCTCCACCCCCGAAAAGGCGGTTCATTTTGATACATGCCACTTAGCTTAGCAAGGAGATGCTTATATTTTACCAGCACTGAAGGTCTACAGTTGCTTCACATTGTAAGAGTGTAGTTAATTTCTTAAAGGTGTGACAGGACATTGACCAGGGTAATAGCCAGGTATGTGATATGAGGGGCATATATGGAAAGGAAAGTTAGGTTTTATATATGGTGTAAGAGGCCACATCTGTGTATGTTTATATAACCTGATATTTCCCAGTGAGGTAAGAAGTGTCAGTAGGGGTTCTAAACATTGTGTGGGACTTTGTCAGCATAAAAAGACGCATTAAAGATATTTCTATAAGTTTCAAAGCCAGAGATCTCTTCAATTTACACAAGTAAGGGACTGCAATTATGTTCAATCATTCATCTGCAGTATGGATTGGTGTTCAAGAACTCAGAGGTTGTGAGTCTCCAAATATATGCTGAAACCTTGTGTAAGGAGCCACAACTCACGTTTCAAAGTGCAGAATTTAATAGGTACATCAAGCAGCCTTGACAATGTTTTGACCACACAATGAAGACCTGACAAAGGCCATGTTGTGTGGGTGAAATGTTGCCATGGCAACTTGATGTACCTATTAAAATCTGCAGTTTGAAACTTTTTGTGTGACTTGCCTCAGAGTTGACTGAAGCATGGTAACTTAGAGAAGAAGTTCTAAACAAAGTAGAAATAAATAGGAGATAAGGATCCTTGACAGGTGCTGTTGTGTACGATGAAGACTGTGACGAAAGGAACCTCGTCACTGGCTTTTGGAGGGGCCTGTTTGCCAGCCTCCTACCCTGTGACAAACTGAACCTTGTCAAGGGTTCTTGGAGGGGCCTGCTGGTCAGCCTCTTGCCTCAGGACTGTTGTTGTTGCTTGTCTCAAAGCTCCAGCTGGTTTATGAATTACTGATAGACCAACTCAGATTCTTAAACATACCATTACACCCTAGCCGAAACCTGATGTGAAACGTAAACAAAGACTATAAAGATATGATAATGCAATATGTCACGGTTATAAAATGTCCCGGTTTTATGGTAATTTAACATTAGACAGTTGTGTAAACTGTACCTGTGGCAGGGGAGAGCACAAATAAATGGCCATTTAAGCTCAGATAACTCACTGTGTGAATGGGCCTATTCAAGTGCAGAATGTCACATATGCATGTGCCAGATAGTGGCTGATGGAGTTGTTAGGTTTGACATCAAATATCTCTGCAAATATCCCATCAGTATATTGGAACAGTTATAGAAATATGTTCTTATGCAAGAGATACTCCGTGTGTATCAACTCCTTTGATACAAATTATTAGCTGTGTATTTTATGAATGTCATTATTGCTGTCTCACATCACCCAGCAGTCACTTGCAAATCATTTTAGGGACCTCACACTCGTCACAGTCTAGATAACAACTGAAGAGGTTTACGTAAAGAAGCAATACCAGAGATAGTTCACCAACTGCAAGTTCTTGTTACAATTACATAAACTGGCTCTAGCACTCCATAGTCCATCTATTTCACGTTAGTCTAGTACATCCAGTCCTGTGTATTCAGCCACACTGCACACATCTACTGGAACTATTTGCTCTATACATCCAGGTGACTTTTCGAGAATAATCCATGTTCTCGGATTTTGGCTCCTGTTTCCTGCCTCCAACAAATGTAATTTCTCCTCAGACCTGTCAGCATTGTTCAGTTGATTAACTCTATTTCCACAAAAAGGGGACAGCAGGCAGAAATTGTAAACTATTCTCTTTAATGTTATTAAAATATTTTTCTTTATTTTTCAAGAACTTTACCATTGTGTTCATTTATGCACCATTCATTGTCCAGAAGAAACATTCTAGATCCAACAGGGCTGGCCAGAAAGTAGATCCACAGGTGTTGCAGTACTAGAACTGTCATGACCCTATGTCAACATTGCAGCCAAAAAAATAAAAATAAAAGCCATCGCCTACCATTTGTCCACACCTGTTAGATTCATGTTCTTCAAACCTGTTCTCAGGATCCAACAAACAGGCCATGTATGAACATTAACAATTTAAAATATGGGGATTATGCAGTTCTGACTTTTCCGTGGGTCGTAAGCAAGAGTTACAAGGTTGAAGAAGACTTGCATACTGCAAGTGCCACAACATTAGAGAGAAGCAACATTTACATGTCAAAATGCTGAGAGGATCAAATACAGAGATTTGCCTAGCATTTTAAGCTTTTTGTGGGCTAAGCCATCTTATTTTGTATTGCCCACAGATTTTAAATGTGTGGCCTAAAGTTGCAATAAATAGCTAAAGTTACTGCCGCATTGATGACTTTTGGTTGCCTGATGCTGGATGTCCTCACGCTGTGTATAAGGACAGAATTACCCAAATCCCCATAGGAAAGCACGGTATAATATATTCCTATGGGGAAAGTACTAATGCAAGCGCAGCCATTCCCATCATGCGCATTAGATCTCTCTCACTGGCTGTCAGCGACAGGGGAGGAGTGCAGGCAAAGCCTGACCCAACATCAAGGGACATCGGCGCAGGACACAGGTGAGTGACAGAAGGAGTTTTCCTGGCACTATAGTTTCCCTTTATTCTGAAATGCTGCTCACTCATTGCAGTTAGGACTTGATACTTTTGATAAAAAAAAGCAAATGTAAATATGAATCTGTTCTGAATTAACCAATTTAGAGGCAATCTGGCCATTGATAAATGTCCTAAGTTCTATACTCTGCATTAAAGTCAGAAGATATGTTTACTTGATATACTGTACATTACGGTACCATGCCAAACATTAAAGGAACACTATAGCATTAGACTATAAAGCAGTGACTAGGGCCCCGCTCCGCAGCAAATAAATGGTTAACCATTTATTGGATTACCTTAACCCGGCGCTGGTGACCTCTACTCCTCTATCGACGTCACTCCCGAGTGGAGCCGAATGAGCATTCAAACCCGCCCATAGGAAAGCATTACTCGATGCTTTGCTATGGGGATCTTTTTTGACGCTGGAGATTCGTGAGGACATCCAGCGTCAAATAAGTGCAATTTACTTTGTGTAAATCGTAGAAGCGGCCCCTAGAGGCTGGATTAACCCTGCAGTGTAAACATAGCATTTTCTCTGAAACTGCTGTTTTCAGCTGCAAGTTTAAAACAAGGGGGACCTGGCACCCAGACCACTTCATGTTCAGAAACACTGTTATGAGTGAAGCACTGCATACAATGTTAGAGTTTACAGATGGCTCGGTACTTGTCATACATTATGGCATGTTCAGTCCAAGATAGAATTTTACAGAACTGCAAAGCAACAATATCTCCTTAATCACTACCACAATAATGAGAATAGATTTTAGCATTCACCAGTTCTCTCGGTGTGGCTCTCCGTTAAGTCCAGTGTGTGGCTGTGCTAGGATCCCCAAACTGCAGCAACAAGATGGTAGAACTTTTTGCTCTATTTAATCACAGCATGCAGCTACGATGTGGCAGGAGGTGGAAAAGGTATGCATGTTATAAAGGATTAAACTGAGGAAATAGGCCCATTAGCTTTTACCAAATTGCCTGTTTCTAAGATAAAAAATAGCAGCTACCCACGTAATAAGAAACAATGGCCTGAACTATTCAATTCCCTTGTCAGTTCTGTACAATTTCTAATGTGAAATAAAACAAAATCCCAGTGAAATGAGAGGCATCTCCACAATCCCTTCCATGCAAGTGTATGCTTAGAATTGGGTGGCACTGTGTCACTTGGCATCGGAGCCATCCATCTTTCTTAATTGTAGTTAGAATAATGAGATCAAAAACTGTAGCATGAAATAACTTTTCACCTATGCATTTGCAAGAGTTTTGGCTTGAAATAGTTTCAGATGGAAGTAGCAAGAACACCCTGACAACCTTTAAAGCCTCGTTTAAGTGCAAGGTAGAGCAGGGGTAGTCAACCTTTTAATACCTACCGCCCACTTTTGTATCTTTGTTGATGGTAAAGTGTCCTTACCGCCCACCAGTGCCACAGTAACTAATTTTATAGCACAAGTGCGATTTGATTTATTTTTTAATATTATTTGAAAGGAAGGTTTAAAAAAAAAAAATTTCTTTTTTTTAATTTTCCCTTTTTTTCTATTCCACTTTTTTCTGTGTCTGGGAGGTGCGGTGTATGTATGTATGTGTGTGTGTGTGAGGGGTACAGTGTGTGTGTGAAGGTGGAAATGTCTGTGTTTGTGTGTGAGGGGTGCAAAGGGTCTATGCTGTGTGTAGGTGGGTGAGATGTGAAAATCTATCTTAATGTCTTCACCTCCCTTCTTCTTACCTTTTACCAGGGGGGGGGGCATAATGCTGCAAGCCCTGGTGGTCCAGTGGTGGCATGTCCACTTTAGCTTGCAGCTCCTCTGTCTGCAGGCTGACTCTCCTGCGAGCACAGCACTGTACCGGAGTGTTGCTATGGTAACGCATGGCAATGCTCCGACAAGCCTGCTTGCGCGAGGAACACAGAGCATGCCAGGCCCTTCCCTCCCTCTGCTGGAACTAAGTGCTTTGATTTCCTCACCAAGGCTGGCTCTGCATGGGCAGGCAGGGGAGATTAAATGATCTCCACTGCCGGCCTGGGTCCACGGCCATCGAGGCCCACTGGGCGTTTTCTGCAGAACCCACCCCCGCCCACCTGAAATCCCAAACCGCCCACAAGTGTGCAGTAGGGACCAGTTTGACTACCCATGCTTTAGAGAGTTATATAGCCACTAAAACACACTGTAGTAGTTATGTTGCTTAGAAGCCTCTATAAAGATAAGGGGGGGAGATAATTTTATTTCTCCTTTATTGTTGAGTTTTTGAAATAGTTTCTTCATAATCAGTTATTAAATAAATACAAACTGCATGATATGTATGCCATCTGCTATTTTACTAGTGTAAGATTTGTTCCTATGAATATAATTATTGTTATACTGTAGTCTGATTTTTGTTCCAACAGTGCCACCCAGTGGTTTGTTGACCATTTACCATGGCATAACTTAGCAGATGGTTATGCACTATATTTAATGTTTCTCTAATATTATAAATCAACCTACTGCAGTTTAGGTGTATCAGCCACATTATTCAATGTTCTTCTGGAATAATAATAATAATTATTATTATTGAGAGAGACACACTCACACACACACACACAATCTTTCCTTATTTTATATCATGCAATTGTGTTCTTACAGCAACATCCAGTAAATAAGGCACACCATACACACATAGTTATGTAGCTAAAAGAACTAATAAATCTTACAAAAAAAAAATAAAAATAATAAGTTAAAAGTAATGTTCTTTAGTTAGTGACAGACCAACAGTTTTCAGAGTTAAATGATCACTATACGGTCAGGAACACAAACATGTATTCCTGACCCTATAGTGTTAAAACCACCATCTAGCCCCCCTGGGCCCCCCATGCCTCCATAAATATAACAACTGTATTCAAGCCTAAAGCTGTAGATCTGCATACCGTTTGCCTCAGAAAAACAAGCAGTCTGCTGACATCATCAGAAGTGGTGGCCTGACCCAATCACAATGCTTCCCCATGGGTCTGACAAAGAGGCAGATCAGTGGCAGAGCCAGCATGATTCAAACACAGCCCTGGCCAATCAGCATCTCCTCATAGAGATGAATTGAATCGATGAATCTCTATGAGGAAAGTTCAGTGTCTGCATGCAGATGGAGGAGATACTGAATATTTGGATGCATTTTAGGCAGCCATGACCCAGGAAGGATCTCTAACAGCCATCGGAGGAGTGGCCAGTGAAGTTATCACGAGGCTGTAATGTAAACACTGCATTTTATCTGAAAAGACAGTGTTTACAGCAAAAAGCCTGAAGGGAATGAATCTACTCACCAGAACAAATTCAATAAGCTGTAGTTGTTCTGGTGACTATTGACCCTTTAAATAATATTTGCTCATAACTTTGCAGTTATGCCATTTGCTAGGTGTCTTTTTGTGGACAGTATCCAAAACTGCATGTGTTACCAATCACACTGTATTACATTTTAATGCAGGCAATTAACTCCGACCAAACAAATTATATAAGTGCTGTGTTTCATTACACAGAGAGCTATGCTATGAAAATGCAATACGAAGGAAAATTAGACGTATATGTCCAGGGGCAACATGCAGATCATTACTAGATTCATAGAGAATTTAAAGGTTAAACACTCATGTGGGTGATGGGGAAGAGAATAATTGGGTCAATAGAGTCATCTCAAGAACAATGACAATGACAATTTAGGTACCAGAGTGTGAATGTGGTAATAAGCAGCAATGTTGGAAAAAGTTAAATAATCCCAAAAACAATACAGTTATAAAAATATACATATATATATTGGTAATATAGCAACTATACTCCTGGTTAATGGCTATTGGTGTTTCAAGCAGAGTTCCAGGCTTACGCACAATGTGGCCTAAATATTAAATTTCTATGCAAACATGGACACCCAGCAATGTCCGGCCAACGCTGCTCACATGTGTTGGTTCTCCAAGAAGCATGAATATTGCTGTATTCCACAAGAGGAACGGTTATCACCAGCCACGCCTCAAGGTCACACTTTGGAAAAACACTGCAAAACCCATCTGAAAGGTGGACGTTGTTTCAAATTCGTTGATTTACTCAACAGTATTTCTTCCAGCAATTAAAGAGCCAACGTAGTCCTTAAAAGTGAGGCCGTCTGTTTCTACCACTAAACTTAGTGTCAGGACGAACTTCCCTGGAGAGAAAGAAAAAAGGTTTTACAAATGTTTTATTTATTTTTTTAACAGAAAACCATATAAAAAATCCAAATACACAATATTCCAGAGCTTTCATCCTGTTACTTGTATTTATGATATGGGAAACTGCAAAATATTTATATTACCTACAGTTCACAACACCACATCCCAAAAAATAAGATATTAAATAATTTAAAATCTGAGAGCGTGGCAATGTTCTAGTGTGGGCAATGCCACTAATGGGTGTCTTGGCATATATACGTGCGTGCAGACACATGTATAGAGGGGATTCATTGTTAGGGTGTGAGAAATAAACAGCTCCCGGATGGGCACACTGTCCTCAAGGTGCAGATGGGAACATGCATCCTGCTCACAGAGGGAACCAATAACACCACCCTAGAAGAACAGTGCTTACAAGAGTCCAAGAAATATCTACATAAATAATGCTGATATTTTTATTTTAGACAGATTTTCTATTTGCTGAAACGGTAACGGGTTAAGTGACAGTGTCCCTAGATTTGTATTTGGTCAGAAGGTAGCAGTAATTTATAATAGAAAAGACTTAGAAAACAAGCCTTACTAGTTGGGTAGAAAACATCTTGAGACTCGTATCACTAAGGACACAAATATAATCAACACACTCTTTAAAGCTAAGACCAGGCTTACAGCTTCAAAGGTAAATCCAACTAGCAATCAATAGATGAGCAATTTCCAAAATTAAGGCTGCCTGAGCATGGGTTAAGAAATACAAAATAGACATCAGTGGGATTACTTACTTTCCCTGCCGTCGACGGCGTTCTTTCTTCTCGAGAATCCAATCTTTGCTTTTTTTCACCGATTTTCCCCGGACGTTTTTAAAACGCGACCTGCAATGTTAATGTAAGAGTCGAGCTTTCTTATTTTCAAAATTATTTCTATAGCAGTTATTGCACACGACACCATGCGGATTATGTGAGAGGCAGGAAAACATGCCAGATCCTTGTAGCTAACATGACTATAAACCTCTCGTTGCTGTGTGTCTGTCCTTCGGCTGATAGGGGAGTTGGGCCGGTCAGCACTAATGGACAGACGTACGCATCTTTCATTACGAGCAAACATTAAACATAACTTGCACAACAAACATGTCATTTTAATGCATTTGTAGACAGCAAGCCTATCTTAAAGAAATATCCAAGCACCATAACCACTAGAGCTGCTAAGACCTGCAGTGTAGGGCTAGCTCACTGCCTAATAGCATCAGGAACCATAAACTAAGCATGTGCATGGGGAAAATATTCGTCTCGGTTCGGCATTCCGAAATTCGGGACTTCGGATCTTAGACACTTCGGCAACTTTGGCATTTCCCACGGTATTAGGGAGTTATCTACCAAAAGGCTGAAAGACCTAAATTGGTCTTTCAGACAAATTTACTAAGACTAAGTAAAGATTACTTAGTATTAGTAAAATGTGCCCCTACTCGCTATACTGCGAGTAGGGGCATGTCTAGTAAACAGTGAACATTAGGTCCCCTCTGCCCCCCCCATTTTTATTTTGGGCCCCCATCCACCGCTCAGGGGTGGGGGCCGGTGAGGAGGAGAATAGGTCCTCCCTCCCCCCCTTTTTACTTTAGGGCCCCCACCCACCGCTCAGGGGTGGGGGCCGGGGCGCAATAGTTCCCCCCTTTAGTTTAAAAGCCCCCACTCGCACGTCGCGGGTGGGGGCACCTTTTTTTTTTTTTAATACAGTGAGCAGCCACAGGCAATAAACATACCCCTATTCACAGTATAGCGAGTAGGAGCATAATTTACAAATACTAAGTAATCTTTACTTAGTATTAGTAAATTTGGCTGAAAGACCAATTTAGGTCTTTCAGCCTTTTAGTTGATAGCTCCCTAATACCATGGGAATTAGGAATGAATAAGTAGATAACTCCCTGTCATTACATGACTGGCTAAGTAACTTACATTTTATATGAATGTATGTTACTTGATTGTTGTAAGTGTTGCAAATGCTTACAGCTGAATCCTGGCTATGTTTGTATACTTTTTATTTGAAATTGTATACAGTGTAACATTCTTCATCTTTCACTGGGTAAGTATATTAGTACTTAGGCAATACTGTGCTTCGAAACTTCGGCACTTCAGCACTACTACACTTCGGAAATTCGGCACTTCAGTTATTTGGACATTCGGAAGCACCCGAATGTCCGAATTACCCGAAATTAGGCCAAATTTTAATTCGGACCGAAACGAATTGCACAAGTCTACCATAAACTGAATTGTATGCTGGAACTCGATCCAAAAAACAGAGTGATGTCATTTAGACTAAACTTTACTGAACTCAAAACATTACATGCTTATTTAAATGCACCTTAAGGCACAAAACCTGTTTTGAAACAGTGTGATTATACCCCCTCCCCCTTATATTTGAAAGTACGATATTAAAGTTAGCTCTTGTGCAAGAATGATCTCTAAATGTGTTGAGTTAGAAACACTATTTTGCGTGGTGCGCCGCCTGTGGATATAAGAGCAATAAAATGTAATATCATGCATTATATTTCTTAAAAAAATAGTCTATTATCTGACACAAAAAAAAGCTCCTAAACATATTCTTTTCTATAAAATACTGAAATAAAAATATGTTTCTGCTATCTATTTAATTGCAGCCCAGTTTACAATCTGTTGCTAAATGCCCACATCAAACAACTGTTGAGTAAAAGCTTTAATCATAGTTATCAACAGTTTTTCTGTGCCAAACAATAGCTTTGAAATATGATGCCACAATTACAGCAAAAAGAGAGATTGAAGTTACCCACGCAGTTTTCTTTTTTTCATGCTAACGTCATGGACATCATGAACAAAAAACAGAAAAGTGCTCAGAGCAAAAACCCACTACTTGCCTTTAAAGGACCACTATAGTGCCAGGAAAACATACTCGTTTTCCTGGCACTATAGTGCCCTGAGGGTGCCCCCACCCTCAGGGACCCCCTCCCGCCCGGCTCTGGAAGGGGGAAAGGGGTAAAAACTTACCTTTTTTCAGCGCTGGGCGGAGAGCTCTCCTCCTCCTCTCCGCCGCCTTCACGCCGGCCGAATGCGCACGCGCGCGCAAGAGCCGCGCCACAAGATCTCTCATAGGAAAGCATTTACAATGCTTTCCTATGGATGCTGGAGCGTCTCACTGTGATTTTCACAGTGAGAAGTATCGCAAAGCGCTCTAGTGGCTGGTCAAATGAGACAGCCACTAGAGGATTAGAAGGTTTAACTTAATTATAATTATAGCAGCTCTCTGAAAACTGCTATAATTATGAAAATAATAATGAAAAATGGTTAACCCTAGAGACCTGACCACTTCATTCTGAAGTGGTCTGGGTGCCTAGAGTGGTCCCAATTTTATTTTTTTTAAAGTAAGATTCTTTATGACTGGCATTGCATGTAAAGTATGCAAAAATGCAGGAACAGCATTTGGTGTGATGGTATGTTTGCTATTGTGATTGAAAGTAATTTTTGGTTCCTTTAACTCCAAGGAACAATTCTATAGACAGGCTAAACGTTTATATGTCGAACAGAACGTTTAATATTTTTCCCTCCACACACTATACTCCTAATATAATGAAAACATAACTTTATAATTAATTCGTATACATAGCAGGTGCTACTTGCAAATGTTATATTTGCATATTTTTATTATGCAACTCCTTAACTCAGTTACTCCTAATTTTTCTTCACATACTTTATATTTTCTAGTATTACCTCTGGTTAGTGAAAGAAACCTGATTAGAGGCCCGTTGATTCGCTGCAACTTCTCCCAGACCCTGCAACAATAAGACAAGGTTACAACAAGGCAAACAGAGATGGTGTGAGAGTAACAATGGCAAACTCACTGGTGCAGCTCACTAGAGATCTTCTCCTCCATTCACAACCATGTGCAATGTCTAAACAAGTTATTTTCAGCCCTACTCCATCAACAAGGCATTGACTCTAAACGGTACATTGAATATGTAAACCAGCCTAAATGCGAATGTTACAGACACATTCTAATTTATTAAAACTATGTGCTCACCTCCTGTCACATAATGGACCACTCACATCACACACAGCATAGTCTATCATATAGAATTAGTATCCCACACATCCAGCTGCCTAAGGAATGCAGGTAGGAGATGGTGGAAGAAAATATAGAGCAAACTTCCTATCACTGTTTATCTAAACTTTGTGCAACCCCCATGATCTGAGAGCTAACATATCTCCCAATAATCAGTGCATGTTTAAAGGGACACTATTGTCACCAAAACAACATTATCTTAATGAAGCAGTTTTCGTGTATAAATGGTACCCCTGCAGTCTCACTGTTGAGTTATTTGCCATTTAGGAGTTACATAGCTGAAAAGAGACTTGTGTCCATCAAGTTCAGCCTTTCTCACATTTTTTTTTTGCTGTTGATCCAAAAGAATGCCAAAAAAAAAAAAACCAACAAGCTAGGAAAAAATTCCTTCTTGACCCCAGAATGGCAGTCAGATTAATCCTTGGATCAAGCAGTTATTACCCTACATTGAAAAATTATATCCTTGAATATTCTGTTTTTGCAAGTATGCATCTAGTAGCGGTTTGAACATCTGTATGGACTCTGATAAAACCAATTTTTCAGGCAGAGAATTCCACATCCTTATTGTTCTTGCAGTAAAAAAAAAAAACCTTTCCTTTGCCTTAGACAAAATCTTCTTTCTTCCAGTCTAAATGCATGACCTCGTGTCCTATGTAAAGTCCGGTTTGTGAACAGATTTCCACACAATGGTTTGTATTGGCCCCGAATATATTTGAATAATGTCATCATATCCCCTCCCAGGCGACGTTTTTCTAAACTAAAGAGGTTTCAATTTGTTAACCTTTCTTCATAGCTGATATGTTCCATTCCTTTTATTAATTTTGTAGCCCGCCTCTGCACTTTTTCTAATACTATAATATCCTTCTTTAGAAAGGGTGCCCAAAATTGCACAGCATATTCAATATGTGCTCTTACCAATGATTTATAAAAAGGCATAATGATATTCTCATCCTGAGTTAAATCACTTTGTTTATGCAACCCTAGTCACACCTACCTGAATGTGACTTACACATTCTACCTAAACACGTCCTCTAAAGAGTCCTCTAATGTTTACATTTCCTTTATTGCAAATTGTGTTTAATTTAGATTTCCCTGCTCTTTTAATAGCTTGCTATAGCTAGCAGGAGGTTCCAGAGAGTGTTTAAAGTTCAATTTACAGAGCAGGAGATAAAAACTGTGTGTCAGTCACAGCCAAGGGAGGTGTGGCAAGGGCTGCATAAACAGAAACCAAGTGATTTAATTCCTAAAAGGAATCCTGAATTGAGCAGTGAAACGATAGAAGCATTATCTATACACGTAAACTGCTTCATTAAGATAAAGTTGTTATGGTGACTATAGTGTCCCTTTAACAAACTGGCTGTGCTCAATCCTCAATCAGTCATGCGTTTAGACTGGAGGAAAGAAGATTTTGTCTAAGGCAAAGGAAAGTTTTTGTTTTTTTACCATAAGAACAGTAAGGATGTGGAATTCTCTCCCTGAAGAAGTAGTTTTATCAGTGTCTGTACAGATTTTTAAACAGCAACTAGATGCATACTTGCAAAAAACATAATATGTAATGATATAATTTTTCAGTTGTAGGCTAATAGTTTCTCAATCCATGGATAAATCTGACTGCCATTCTTGGCTCAAGAAGGATTTTTTTCCTAGTTTGTTGCAAAATTGGAAGTGTTTCAAACTGTTTTTTTCTTTTGCCTTCTTTTTGAGCAATAGCAAAAAAACAGACGTGAGGAAGGCTGAACTCGATGGACACAAGTCTCTTTTCAGCCTATGTAAGAAGAATGTCAGCTCCTTCTGGTGCCGGGACCAGGCCTCGCCACCAGCACATCGCAACTAGCTTCAGATTTGGCACAATAAGATGGATGTGATTACTGTTTAGAGAAAAAGCCCCAGATTACAACCATAATCAAAACTTACCTTAGGTAATACTCCTGCAACTCCTGCAAAGAGACACAGGAAAAACCTAGACAGAACAGAGATGAATGGATAAGTAAAACAGATAATGCACTGCATCAGTCCACAAATATTACATATAGTCGGATATATGTCCATGTTAAAAGAACACAATGTTATGGATTTTGCTCAGTTGAAACATTGCGTTTTTTACACCCACTACCATTGTTGGCAATTTTGAAGATACATCTAAATCCACCTCTTCAGTGGAATCAAAATAACTAAAATAAAATTGCAGGAATAAAAGAAACCATTATACTGTGCATATGGAATACAAATTTAATATGTAATAAAGAAACAAAAATTTCCTCCTAGTATTCAGTGAAAACTATATGTCTGTCTCTGTGCCTTGCAAATACTTTATAAGAATGAGCTTATTTAAAACAGGTGGAGAATCAAAACACAGAATGAAAGATCACAGGCAGTTCTCAGAAACAGTGCAATCTGCTGGGGGAAAAAATCAAAACATCAAAAGTTACACTATAGTCACCAAAACAACTTTCACTTAACAAAGCCATTTTGGTATATAGATCATACCCCGGCAGTCTCACTGCTCAATTCTCTGCCATTTAGGAGTCAAATTACTTTGTTTATGCAGTCCTAGCCTCTCCTGCATGTGACTTACACAGCCTTCCTAGACACTTCCTGTTATAAGTCATCTAATGTTTACACCTTTATTGCAAATTCTGTTAGATTTAGGATTCCTTATTTCCTGCACTGTTAATATCCTTTTAGAATCTACAGGAGCCTCCTGTATGTGATTAAAGTTCAATTTACAGAGCAAGAGACAAAAACTTCTAAAGTAAGTTACATCTGATCGGAAATGAAAACATTTTTCATTCATGCTTTGTCGGTCACAGTCAGGGGAGGATAACTGCATAAACAGAAACAAAAGTAATTTATATCTTAAATGGCAGAGAATTGAGCAGTGAGACTGCAGATACATGATCAGTACAACCAAACTACTTCATTAAGCTAAAATGGTTTGACATTATGAGGATAAAATACACACACACACTTCCTATGTAAAAAGTTTCCTTTAATAAAAAAAAAAAAAACAACATGTAGCATCCTGTTTATGGCAAGTCCTTAAAAGAACACACTTATCTGTATTTTGGTATTCCACAAGTACATATAACAATCCACAAATACACACACACACACTGGATACTAGAGTCTTTGTGCTCTGTCATAGATTATTCATAATGGTTGTAGATACACAAGCATAGTTTGCACTTACTTCTTAGCTTTGGTACTGTTGGGATAATCAACAACCATTCCACCGGTAAAGCCAGCTCTCATTGCCTGTGCAGTAACCAATTCCAGCTGCAAAGAAAACAGAGGAAGAGAGTAGTTTGTAGGATATTAGAGATACATAGAGTGGAAAGAAACAAAGAAGGGATCATTGAGAAGGTGACGTGGAAACATAAGAATGGAGTTCACTGGTGGACATCTGACAGAGCATTACGAGCAGAAAAGAACCCCCACAGGTGGTCCTTCAGCACTTCACACACACAGCAACCACTGCCCGTAGTTGCTATGAAATTGGAGGGACTGACTACAAAGTCAGCATGCTGGCATCAGGAGGTTTGTCTCAAAACATGGAAAAACACAGAAGACTGCGGAAGGAGTGTGGGCGGACCAGAGGTGGAAGATGGTGCGCTAGAACGGAGGTAACGAGAGTACATCATAATAGTTTACATTGAATACATCATGTATTTCTGAGATACATAATGCATTCAATGTACTTGGAACGGATATAAGGCAAGTTAAAAAATTATTTACATACACTGTATTCGCTTCATCTAATTAAAGTGGTTATAGTGTCTGAAGGCCCCTGGTTCCACCCTCTCATTCAGTATTAAAAACTTACGTTGTTTTTATATTTAAAAGATAAACAAGAGCCCCCAGAAGCCCATCCCTCCTGTGGGCTAATTAAGTATTAGATTGGCTCCTTTTACCCTTAGTGCGCTCATTGCCAGTGTGACTGTGTAGGTCTAAAAAGCAGTGTGTAATCTCTGCCCTAGCTTTACCTCTAGCAGGAGCTGGGCTGTAGGTGGCCAATAATTTATTTAGTGTTAAACTGCTCGAAAATAGTTTAACATTGAATGGAGAGAGTGCCAGGGTACTCCGGAGACTATTAACAAATCCCAGAAATTAAATGTCTATAGTTCCTAAGGTGTCCCTTTAAGGTGCTCAGAGAGTCTTGCCCTATGATGCTTCAATCAAGTTGGGCATCTACTAGGTAAGGTCATACAAGAACATGGGTGTTCAGGCACTCCTTTAGTTAAACTAATTTGCAAGGCATGTTTTGGCTGTAGCATACCTGGACAGTCAGGTATGACAAATAGATTAATTAAAAAAAAAAAAAAAAAATTAGGAAAAAAATAGCCTGAACAGTCAAACACCACAACTTACCTGTTCTGAATTCTCTGGATACAGCTGCAGAACAGCCCTCGCTCCTCGAGCCTACAAGATAAACATAGAAATGACCAGGATGGCTCATTTGGAGACTACAACTTACAGTCCCCAGTCAGAATATTCCATAACAGCTCGATCACACTCATAGCTGTATCATGGTACTATACAAACTGTCCCAAACTATGATGAGGTATTTACTGTAATATTTTGTACTATGCGAAATTCAACCAACACCTAAACATAGACATTTTTTCAGTCAGGAAGTAAAGACTTTTGAGTTGCATATATGCGCTGTTTTTTCTTTTCAGGGGTTGTTACGTCAGTTTAGAGATCTTAAAGCGATACAAGGTTGCACCCAATATATTGTTACACGAAACATTATAATAAATCAGCCATTTTTATGGTAAACTGTGCCTGCTCAATGGAAACAATATCCCTTCATTTAACAAATATGCATTTGTGAGGTCTAAAATCCACACCTCGTGGCACTATAATCAATTCAATGAGATGAAAGGGTTATATTGCCTATAGCAGTGGTCCTCAACCTCAAACCCCCCGAATGTTGCTGAACTACAACTCCCATGATTCTTTGAATTGCATAGATAGCCAGAGAAACATAGAAACATAGAATGTGACGGCAGATAAGAACCATTCGGCCCATCTAGTCTGCCCAATTTTCTAAAAACTTTCATTAGTCCCTAGCCTTATCTTATAGATAGGATAGCCTTATGCCTATCCCATGCATGCTTAAACTCCTTTACTGTGTTAACCTCTACCACTTCAGCTGGAAGGCTATTCCATGCATCCACTACCCTCTCAGTAAAGTAATACTTCCTGATATTATTTTTAAACCTTTGTCCCTCTAATTTAAGACTATGTCCTCTTGTTGTGGTAGTTTTCTTCTTTTAAATATAGTCTCCTCCTTTACTGTGTTGATTCCCTTTATATATTTAAATGTTTCTATCATATCCCCCCTGTCTCGTCTTTCCTCCAAGCTAGAATCATGGAAGTTGTAGTTCAGCAACATCTGGGGGGCCGGCGTTTGAGGACCCCTGGCCTATAATGTCCCTTTTAGTAAATTAAAAAGAAGTGACTTACTCTTTAGTAGATACACCTCCAATGAAAACATGCATGCGATTAAGTATCTTTTTCATTGAGGGACTATCTAACAAAAATTACAAAACCTGAAGACCTCTTGTCTGAAGCCCTTGTAAGCCCTCCACTTTTTCCCCAGCCCAGACTTTCCATGGTTGCTTAATCACAAACTTCCCAATGCAGCTCAATAGGAAGTAATTGCAAGCAGTTGCTCTGGGCAATTGTCTGTCTCTGGAGTTTAGCCTCACAGAGATAAACAACTAGGAAGAAACAATATGTTGTCGGATTGAGTTTTGGCATATAGATCATGCCCCTGCTCAATGTTCTGCCAAATTAAACAGACTCTGCTATACAGGAAGTTTAAACATTACATGTCTCTTTACAGGAAGTGTTTATGGAAGGCTGTGCAAGTAACATGCAGGGAGGTGAGGCTAGGCCTGTATAAACAATGTGATTTAACTCCTAAATAGCAGAGAATTTAGCAGTGGCACTACAGGGGAATGATCTACATCCCAAAACTTCTTCATTAAGCTAAAGTTGTCTTGGTGCCTATAGTGTTCCTTTAGCTTTAGAAGTGTACAGTGGTGCCAGTGTAACCAATATTCTCCAACAATAGCGAAGAGATAAAAAGGTAAAATAAGTGACCAAGCTGTGAAACACAAAAAGTGTCTAAATATAATGTTCTTGATGAACAGTATGCAAACTAGTGCAAATGATTTTATAATAGGAAGTAGTAAACCAAATGAAAATATGTTAAGGTGGTTTTTTTTCCTATTATCAATACCCTCCAACTAACAATTATCGGAATCTGACACTTACCAGAGAAGAGTAAAGAGTGGAGAAGAATCGGTAGAGACGTCGTGGTGGACTGTGAGTCTTTTTATCCGCATTACAGAGCCATTGCAGCGCTGAAATGCTAACAAAGGAAGAGACATACCAGTTACTCAACAATACAAAACCTTTCAGTAACCTATCATCATCTAAGCTACAGCTCAAGATTTCATTGAACGAATGTTTAAGGAGTTCTGTACTTCTATAATCCTTGAACTTCTGTTTGTGAAGTTTAATTAAGAAGCATGAGGACATGCAGTCTATTATTGCGCATCCTGCTTTGCTTATGACCTCGCACATTAGAATAGACACAGCAAGCAATGGGCGAGCACCAGATCAGAATATCAAAGGAACACTCCAGGCACCATAGCTACTTCAGTGCGCTGTAGTGGTTATGATACCCGTGCCCTGCTATCCCACATTGTAAGTAGTCAAACTATTTTAGTGTGACTTGACTGAGTGGAGAAAAAGTAGAGAGGACCCTGGTGCAAGAATTTTTTGGGGGGCCCTGCTATAGCAAAAATGGCTCCACATCTCTTCTACAATGCCCCAATGCTGAGGATTTACTATTTAATGTATTTAGCACTTAGCATTGTTTGCGTGTTTGAATGTAAGCATATTTTTGCATGGAGTGTGAATGTAAGGGTGTATTTGTGTGTTGCTGTATCAGCCAGTTCATTTTCTCTAAGCACTATCTGCTCAGCCACACAGATTCCTTCTAGATTTATAGCATGCTCCTCCAGCTGCTTGGGATTTTACTCAATTACCCCCTCATTCCACTTACAAATTAACAGTGGCTGTAACTTTCCTTTAATTTCTCTGGCCATCACTTCCAAATTCCCTCTCAACATCCCATTACGTCTTTTAGATTATAAGCTCATGGGCTACATAACTAGGTACTCTGTATAAAAGAGTTTCAATGGCTAGAACTCATCTCATGTACAGTGTCCTTTTTCTCTTTTGTATTGGTCTGTGTATATTGTATTATTTTGTGTACAAGAGGCTATGTTACTCAGTAATGACCTTCCAAATATTCTCACCTGATGCAGCCATCAAAGGTGCCGGGACGGAATGGGATTCCTTGTCCCATGTCTCCTCTGATCAGGTCCCCTTCCACCTCACGATCCAATGCCACATCTAAAAAAACAAATAGAAGCTGGGATTTACAATATGCCAAGAAAAGACCATTATCATTTGAGCATAAGGTTAAATCAAGATGACAAACCCAACATGGCAGGGCTGATATCTATGCCAATCCAATGATGTCCTTCTTCAGAGATGTAATCTCCACTCAGGCCTGAACCACAGCTAGAGAGGGCAAAAAATATATAATCAGCGTGAACACCTGTTTTAGTTACAGGAAACTTTAAGCCTTTTTTTGTGAACATAGACATGACGTACAATAAAAAGTAAAATAGTATTAACATAAATGCAGCAATATATGAATATATGTTGCGTTTCAGGAACTTATAAGGTCATTTTAGCAGGGCCTTATCCGCCTCTAATTATCCGCTTTCTTTAATTGTAAAGCACTGCAGGATATGTTTACACTATATAAACGTGAACTGCATCAATGTGTGTAAAATGTGTGCAATAATGGCTGTCCCATATTCATGTAAGCATATATGTAGGGCTATAATGATTTATCAAATCTATTTACATTATATATCCTTAAATAATTACAAACAAAATAAAATAAAAAATCCCCAATATAATTCATACAGATCAATGTTTTGTTTGCAGGGAGATTGGGAACCAATCACGTTTGCCTACTGGTGAATCTGATTGCTGAATCAACGCATAGGTCATAATGACCGTGTTCTGGGTGCTGAAACACATTTAAGAGGCAATTCCAAGCACCAAGAATAATTCAATGATTTGAATTGATGGTACTTGGAGTCTGTGTGTGCAACATATTAGTTTTAAAACTGTGCACATACAGTGTTTTTAGTGGTGCTGCCAGAGGTTGTATGCACACCTGGCAGCATCATTAGCCATTGCATGCTGGTGACTGACAGTCTCAACCTGTTTTCCATGACATCTTTCCATCTACATGGAGGGGAAATGACATCACTGGAGGATGATGGGACTGAGAGAGAACTTGGCTTTGGTGGGTGATAGAAAGAGGAGGAATATTTTTTTCCATTTTTTTTAAGGGATGGGCATACCAGCAAGGGTTAGTTCATCCAAAAACAGTTTGTATTAAAACACTCTTTTTGGTTGGAGTAACCCTTTAACAAAGCTGAAGATTATTATTTTGGGATAGTTACACAAAGTTAGGGTTATTTACTCAAAGGTGAATTGCTGGTAATTCAAAGTGAATGTCAAATTGCACGTTTAATAAATCTTTCCTGGAGAAATTTTCCAGTTTGGTTATTTTTGTCTAAAATTTGAAATTTACTTCACATTCATTTTGCATCCCTAACAATTCACACTATGATGAATAGCCCTGATGTCATGCTAGAATGGCAGGACCAGGAACGGTGTGTTTTTTGTCAAATAGTTAATAGAACAAGGTAAATGACTTCTCAAAAGTAACATACCCAACATCCAAAAGAAGGCAAGGCTGATCCTCTGGCAAACACAGAAGCTCAACCGCACGTTCAGACATCTGCGTCTGAATTTCCATCATTCGGGAACTGTTCAGGAAAAAAAAAATAGATCGCACATAAATATACGTATATTAAAAATATATGATAGAGAATAAAACCAAATGTAAATACAACTTACTTCTGGGTGTATTTTCTTGCTTCGGCTTCATTATAAAACTGAAAAAGAAAAAAAGACGAGTTACTACCCAAACAGCTAACCAAGTACATTCTCCAAATCAGCTTTTGGAGATATTGGGAACATTCTAAAAACATTGGCACTCCACCTTTGTAACAGTTAGATACTTAAAGGGACACTCCAGGCACCCAGACCACTTCTGCCCATTGGAGTGGTCTGGGTGCCAACTCCCACGACCCTTAACCCTGCAAGTGTAATTATTGTAGTTTTTATAAACTGCAATAATTACCTTGCAGGGTTAACTCCTCCTCTGGTGGCTGTCTAGTAGACAGCCACTAAAGGGCACTTCCTGGTTTCTAGCACAGGTTTTCTGTGCTATAGCGTTGCTGGACGTCCTCACGCTGTGTGAGGACCTCCAGTGTTGCTAAAATCCCCATAGGAAAGCATTGAAAAGCATTTTCAATGCTTTCCTATGGGGAGGGCTAATGTGCGTGCGGCTGACGGGGGAGGAGCGTGGGCGGACCCTAAACCACCGCTGAGGGACATCAGCGGGGGGTCTCAAGTAAGTCACTGATGGGGTTTTCACCCCTTCAGCAACATGGGATGGGGAGTGGGAGGGAGAGGGGACCTGATTTGTTTTCCTGGCACTGGAGTGTCCCTTTAACCAGGTGACTGCCAAACCATCCCAGACACAAAGCAAAGCAGCTGCAGTGCCAAAGGCAAGTCAGCTCTGATATATAGATGGTAAGGAAGTATCCTGTGATGGGCACAAGAGATATAAATATACCTTCATCTACCTTACATGCATTATACATCGTGGGGAATATTAATAATAAAGAACATGTGTATCATGGGGTCCCCCCTGATGGCTGAGAGTGTTGGGAGCTTACTGATGGATGTCAGGATCCAGTGCAGACACCGCGCATGCGCACTGAGGGGTAGGAGATTTCTTAGCAGAAGATATGGCCATCAGATTTCTATACCCCCTCAGTGCGCATGCGCGTCCGTGGCTGGGTAGGCGCGTGCGCAGTGTGGGGCAGGGAGATCGGATGAATGTTCAGCTGAATCGATCTCCCTGCCCGCTGGTGCGCACGCGCGGTGTATCCCGCTGTCTGTGCCCGACGGGAGTACTTAGGCGCGCGTGCGCACTGGCCCGTTAGCGCCCCTACCTCCCCCCCCTTTGTGGCTCCAAGCGCAGGCGCAATGTGGGGTTCGCGCATGCGCAGTAGGTGGGCTCCTCTCTCTAGCGTGGTAGAAATTTTCTCCTACCTGTTCTTCTGCGCCTGCGCGGCGCGGCGCTCCTCCTTCTCCAGCTCCGAAACGTCATGTCCGGTGCGGCCGCGTCACTTCCGGTGCGGCCGCGTCACTTCCGGTATACCATTCTGACAAGGTATAGTAATCTGACGGAACACCGCCTCCTGGGGCTCTCCCCCGGGCTGGCCCCCGCCTGGCTGTCAGTGCGCGGTCTCAGCCAGGGCCCCCGGCTCGGGGCGGCCAACAACAACAACAACCACCGGCGAAACGGCCCCCGGCCCGCGCCGCCCCTGCTGCGCTCCCGCACGGCCTACTACGACATCCTGGGGGTGAGCAGCGGCGCCAGCCAGGCCCAGGTCAAGACCGCCTACTACAAGCAGTCCTTCCGCTTCCACCCGGACCGCAACGCCGGCAGCGAGGAGGCCGCACTGCGCTTCGGGGAGGTGACCGAGGCCTACCACGTGCTGGGCAGCCTCAGCCTGAGGAAGAAGTACGACCTGGGCGTGCTGAGCCTGGAGGAGGCCCGCAACGCCGGCAAGCCCAGCGGGAGGGCGGGCAGCCCGGCCAGGACAGGGCCCGCGGGCCGCACGGAGGGCAGCAGCAGCCCCAGGACCCCCTCCAAGGCCATGTTCAACTTCGACGCCTTCTACCAGGCCCACTACGGGGAGCAGCTGGAGAGGGAGCGGCTGCAGAGAGCCCGCAGGGCCTACATGGAGAGAGTGCGGAGACAGCCCAGCCAGAAATACCCCTTCCACCAGCTGAGCGAGGTGTCCGCCCTGCTGCTCTTCCTCACCGCCGCTGCCTTCTTCTTCTCATTGAAATGACCCCAGCTGCTCAGAAACCTGCCCTTACACAATGTCCTGCCCCCCGTGCTGGGGGTCTGGGGACATTACTCGCTTTACCAAACCCATCTGTTTGGGGTCCACAGGTAGCAGTCTGTATTAAGTTGTTATGGTGGAAACAAGACACTTGACACCCACGCTCTGCTGACTACACCAGTTCCTCCTCGTGGAACCCCTGCCCTACCAGTCCAGGATTCAGGGATTACCCAGTTGTATCTAAGGTATTGTTTTTTAGAAAAAAGAAAAGGGGGGAAAAAAACACCTTGGACACAACAGAGTGATCCCTAAATCCTGGACTGGTAGGGCTTCCACGAGGACTGGTTTGGGAACCACTGGACTACACTCTTTCAAGGTTATTTACTTTGTTCCTTGTGTGGTCTGGAATTAAAAGGAAATTTTACACTTTAGGCCAATAGAGCCAAGCTGAAAATATAGCTACCCAGGAGACTTTTATTTTATTTTTTTATCTCCCAGTTTGACAGTATGGACGTTAAAACAAAAAAAAGTCATTCACATCATCATGCACCATAGTGAATTACCATGTCTGCATGATATTTTGCACTTTTTCTTAGCTGAGACTTGTGTGAGTGTTATTTTGAGGATGATTTGGTTGTCCTCTCTCTCTCTCCTTCTGGTAGGGGGAAAGTCTCATCTAAGATGGCTTTAAAGAAAGGGATATTGTGCAATTATGAACTTTGTCAACCTGATTTACCTATTGTGCACAAGCTGTTTTGACCATACTCTTGCAAGAGTTCCTTAGCTATTCAAAAACATTTAATTGCACTCCTGTTAAAACAATGGAAACAAGTTGTAACATACTTTGCTCAGCATTTGTTAAAAGAAACATGGTTTAATTTGGTGCTGAAACAAGCTGCTCACTTGTATATGCTGTTTGCTTTAGAAATGACTGTACATAATTTGCTACATATAGGGGGAAAAAAACTTTTATTGTTGCTTTGCACCAAAAAACATTGACCGGTACTTTTGGACAATTTATGCCCAATTCTGGTCTACATGTGTTAAGTGGAAGACATGGTTGTCCATAGATGAATTACAACACTATAACTCCTGGGCAAGTAATAAAAGCCTAGTTGTGACTTGTATCATTTTGCTAGTAGAACCATTTTTATTTTATTTTTTTCGTTTCCTGAAGGGAGCTGTGCAGCTGCACGTTAAAATCTATGAGAGTGCCTTGTCAAAAGTTGTGGGGACATGCATGAGTCTGAGAGCAAGCCCCTTTTGGGATGACTGGTTTTCGAACACTACCTCCTGGTACAGTTCCTGCTGAATGTTTGAAATAGTTTATTTTACAATACCAATTGTAAATGTAAAGAGTTGTTGTATAAAACAAAAACTATTTAATCCATGGAGAAATTAAAGATCTTTTAAAACCAAGTTTCGGTTTATATAATTTTATTCTTTTTTCATGTATACATTCTTAATACCACACTTACATTGGAGTGAACACTGACTGCATTTTTATTTATTTTTTACTAATATTTCAATGGAATCATTTTCGTGGTAGCTAATCAACTGCAGTGCCCCAAGCTGACATTCAGTAATTTTTGACCTGGGTTGTTTTTATGGAAAATTTCTGTTTACATAAGTACGTGCTTCTGCAGAGGGAGAATATTCTTGCTGTGGGCATTCTTAAAAGAACACTATAGTGATAGAAATATAAGCATGTATTCATAACATTATAGTGCTGGTGTAGCAGTTTAGGTCTTCTGCCCCCCTCAAGAGTGGAGTTATAAGGTCTTAAAGTTACCTTTTCTCAACTGCCGCACTAGCCTTCCAGTTGCAACCTTGATGATCTTAGCCAAAGCAACGGGAGGCTATTGCGCATGCATTGTAAAGCTCTGCGTCAATCAGCATTTCATAGAATCAATTCATCTCCATGGGGAAGATTCAGCGTCTCCATGTACAGCGAGGAAACACCTGAAAGTAGGTGCTGCACACAGTGCAGAACAGAAATTGGAAGCACCTCCATTGGCTGTCTGCTGATTAGTAACCTCTCTAGTGTCAGCGTAAACACTGCCTTTTATCTGAAAAGGCAGTGTTTACATTGCTCAGCCTGTAGGGATCTGCTATGGACAGCAGCACCACTACATTAAGCTGTAGAGGTTCTGGTGACTATTGTGTTCCTTTCAATTCTGGTCTCAAAGTTTAACATAAGAACTTAAGTTTAAATAAAACACTATAGTCACCAGAACAACTACAGCCTAATGTTGTTCTGGTGAGTACTTCAAAAAGCCTGTGAGGTATGACTATAAAAACTGTATTTTTAGAGAATAGGCAGTATTTACATTACAGCCTAGGGCAGGGGTAGACAACATTTTAGTACTGTGCCAAAACAAGATCTTTAAGTTCTTTTGTGTGCTGGACCTAATTTTTTTTTTTTTTTAATTTAAGTGTGTTTGTGGCTTTATTCTGCTTATTTGTGGGTGCTGCAGTTGCTTTCTAGTGTTGTTTGGATTGTTATATAGCATATGTTCATGAGTAGTTTGTTGTAAATCTGTATAATACCTATGGATGGGGGCTGCTTGTGAGAGGATGAGAAGTCACATTGTGTGTTTGGTGATGTGGGATGCTTGTTAGTAGTATTGCATGTGAAAGGCTGCTTGTGTAATGTTTGTGGCGACTGAGTGTGTTTGTTTGTGACCTATTTGTATGAGGGGGAGGCTTCTTTGAAGCTCTGTTTATCGAACAGTGTGGTTGGCTTTCCTGGGGTCCAGTGGGGACCAAGCTGGCCAAGTACAGGTCAGGGGTTGTGATGGCTGCTCTACTCAAGTGTGGATTCCCGTTGACAAGTGCTGGGAGGAAGTGATCTGAGATCACTTTTAAGTGCTGGAATATGCAAATTGAGGATTGTCCATAATCACCTTTTTTCACTAACAGATATCAAAAGTTCTACTAGGACAGCTGATAGGCCAGAGCCTGTTTGGGTCTAGCAGCCTCAAAAGCTCTGCGTCAATCAGCATTTCATAGCATTTCATAGAATCAATTCATCTCCATGGGGAACATTCAGCGTCTCCATGTACAGCGAGGAATCACCTGAACGTTGGTGCTGCACACAGTGCAGGATAGAAATTGGAAGCACCTCCATTGGCTGTCTGCTGATTAGTAACCTCTGTCAGTAAGTGTAAACACTGCCTTTTTATCTGAAAAGGCAGTGTTTGCATTGCTCAGCCTGCAGGGATCTGCTATCTGCCACTACATTAAGCTGTAGAGGTTCTGGTGGCTATTGTGTTCCTTTCAATTCTGGTCTTGAAGTTTAACATAAGAACTAAAACAACTTAAGTTTAAATAAACACTATAGCTGGCATTCAGTATTTTTTGTCCTCCCTTTTTGACTTGGGTTTTTTTTTTTTTTTTAAGTGTTTTAAAAAAAAAAGTTTTAGGTAAAATATGTTTACATAAGTACGTGCTGCTGCAGAGGGAAAATATTCTGGCTGTGTGCATTCTTAAAAGAACAGTATAGTGGTAGGAATATAAGCATGTATTTATAGCACTATAGTGCTGGAGTAGAAGTTTAGGTCCCTGGCCACCCTTAGCGTGGAGTTATACAGTCTTAAAGGTGCCGTACTAGTCTTGCAGTGGCTGGCCTGCCTTTATGGCTGTGATCATCAACCTTGAGTTGTCATGGACACTCTCTTAAAATGGTTCTGTCATGTATTTTTTTTTATTTATTTTTTTATGCATCTTGTATCTTACGCCGTTTCCCTTATTTTTTCTCTTTTATTTCTTGTGTTTGCTCTTAGTATGCCCATGCAGCCATTTTTGTTCTTCTGTGTTCATGAAGTCTGCTGTTTGCACTTCTGAAGATTGATTTTACTGAGTGAGTTTCCTGGCACTATAGGTCCCTTCAGTGCCTCCCTCCCGCGGCGCTTACCTGAATCCAGCGCCAATGTAGAGCGTGAGGAAGTCCAGCGTCAGATAACAGACCCAAGGTCCGTTTCAATTCCGGTAGCCCTCTAGTGGCTTTCTGGTAGACAACCAATTTGGGCAGACTTAAAGCTGCAATGTAAACACAGTGCAAAAGGGACGCAGCACCCAGACAACGTCAATGAGCTGAAGTGGTCTGGGTGCCTACAATGTCCCTTTTAAGCCCCTTAGATCCTGAGTGCCTTTCATGTCTGTCTTCCAGGGTGTGACATTCTTCTTAGATAATGCCCATGTATAAACTGAGGGCAAATGTCCTTAACAACAGCCAATAACCTCAGGTCAGACAGGACTTTTAATATTGAGTATGGGACCTGGAGACACTACACTACATTGTGGACTGGTTTTTGGTCACTATATTTAAATGGTTGCATACGTTATTGTAATGTAATTTTTGCACATTTATGTATTTGCACTGTGATTACTGATTTTGCACCAGAGCCTATTTATTTATTTTTTAATAAGGGTTATATTTCAAGGAAATAAAGAGTAGGCTCAACCGATGATGGATCCATCAATGACACCTATCACAGTGGAAAAAGGCCATCTCCCATAAGATGATGGGTCACAATAAAGCTCTCTAATAAAAGCAGAATCACTTGTTATAAACTGTTGGTTGTCTGTAGATCCAAGATTATGGTGTGTAAGTTAGGATTCACGGCTAGCTCCAAATATTTAAAATGGTTTCCCTGTACATCCTGGAATCGGGAAGTCCCAGGCTATTACTTGATGCCTCAAATGTAAGAAAGTCCACCAATAGACCTTTGTTTCCCAGGCGGTGTGGGAGGAAATTCAAGAATCTGCACAACTTAATCTGCCAGCTAAGGCAATTTGATCAGTGTGATTGGCTCCCACTGTGATTGTTCATCCCAAAATCTCAGTTTAGGGTGACTGAGAACTTTAGGTAGAATTAAGAGTATTGAAAGAGGAACAGGTAGAATTGTTAGTTGTAGAATAAGTGTTAGAATCAGATTTGTATTTGCTTATCCTGCAATGTTATTTAGAGGAAAAAATACACAAGGGACACACCCGCTGACATCCCTGATCATGGTGCGGTTGTCAAAGGGTACAGTAGAAGGTAGGTATATTCACCTAAAGTAGTCACTTGCTGCCATTTCTCCTTTGTATTTTTATTTTTTTTTGGAGATATTTTTTGGCTCATTGCGTTTCATCTGCCAGATGTCACATCAGTGCTGTGCTCTATAGTACATATTGAGATCTATGGAGAATCTTGCAAGACTGCGGGAACTCATGTCTCAGGATAAGTAAATTGATGCCTGATTCGGCTGCTGGGCTTTGATCGTAGTTGACACTGGTGCTCCACTTTTTGTCAACCTCAAACTTACCCATAAGACAAAAAGTCCCTGACTTATGTCATACATAAAATTCCAACACTGTCAGCTTGAAATTTTCTAAAATATTATATTATAGATGTAACCGAGCCAATTTAATGTAATTTAAAAGTAACTTGTTCTATAACTTCTGAAGATTGACATTTTAGCCATATAAGGCTATTCCATTATTAGAACAAATACATTCAGAAATGTTTACATTTTGTTGTTCAGATGCATTACTGTGCATATATTATACTTGTGTAAAGGCAGTATACCTGGAGTTGTGGGAGGGGTTTTGCTGACCTAGATTTACCCCCCTCGCAGTGCCTCCTGATGTATTACCTACGTTTGGAATCTGGTTGCAAGGTTACAACACACAACCAGTCACACTACATATTCATCAGTGTTCCGAGCAACCTTTATTCAGTACAGTACATTAGGCCTACATTTGGATGCGCTACATAGTTACTGTGGTTCTGTATGTTCTGCAATGCTATATGTTCAATTTGGTTTAGTACATTTTGCCTACGTTTTGCCACGCTTCATATTCATCATGGTTGATCACATTCTGCCCTCTACATGTTCACTGTTTTTTTAAAGTACATTCGGCCCACGTTCAGCCATGCTACATTTCACTTGTCTTAGTGCATTTGGTCTCTGTTTGGCTACGTAAATATTTTATGTTTGGATCTGTACATTGGGCCTTTGCTTGGCGTGCTACTTAGTCACTTTGGTTTGGCTGCCCTACATAGTCATTTTTGGTTTAGTACATCTGACCTACTGTCAGCCATGCTACATTTTTGTCTTGGTTCGCTACATCTGACCTACATTCCGACATGCTACATTTTTGTTTTGGTTCAGTGCATTTTACATTTGACCTACGTTCGGCCACACTACGTTTTTTGTTTTGGGTCAGTACATTTGGCCTAAGTTCAGCCGTAGGACATTTTCAATATGGGCCAGTACATTTGGCCTTCGCTCGGGCCGTGCTACATGGTCCCTTTTGCTTTGGACATTCTTCCTACTTTCGGCCACCAAACATTTTTACTTTGATTCGCTACATGCTACCTATGGTCAGCCCATTTGATCTATGTTCTGCTACGCTACATATTCACTTTGGTTCTGAACATGCAGCCTAAGTTCAACTATGTTACATTTCACTCTGGTTCAATACAGGCAACCTATTTTTCGAGTGCTCTACATTTTCACTTTGGTTTAGTACATTCAGCCTACGTTCGGTCACGCTTTCATTACTTCATTTCAAGTTTTGTTTGGGCATGCTACCTATTAGGGATTTATATATATAATTTGTTATATTATCAGTTTCCAGGCTTTTTCAAAACTTTTTTTTTTTTTTTACTACGCTGAATCTCCAAGGATAATTTATACTAAATGTCCTATGATTTTTGAATCTACCTATTGTTCATTGTTTGTGGCTGAATTTATAAGTTTGGTTTACTACAGTATGCTTCACCATAAACCCCTCTCACCCAATAATCCTAATTAAAGATATCCAGCTTATTTATCATCTGCTATGCACTTTTCATCTAACCTCATGACGTAGACCGAAATTAACTATTCCCACATCTAAGGCTCCAAAAGTGCAATTCCTATATTTTTCAAACCGTAAGCAGGAGGTTGGAATACAGTTCAAAATTAATTTTAAAGGAACACTAACAGACATGTATTTATAACACTACCGTGTTAAACTATTTAGCTCCCCCCAGTTAGGGAGATATTTCCCCCAGCCCACATCATAGTTAATCAGAGAGGCCAACATCCCGACACAATGCTCAGTGGCATACAAACATATAAGTAGAGCCTCTCATCGGCACTTGGCAACTAGTTAGGCATCCCAAGTCACCAATCTTGGTGTAATTGTTTTGCTGCTTGCCATAACATAGGTCAGCCAATACTTTAATATTACAGACTTTGTCCCACTAACTATAGAGGAGCTCATAAAAAAATAAACTCCTAACAGTCTTCTTCTGTTTCAGGTATGGTTATAATTATCACAACAACATGAGGAATGACAGAGGGGAAGGGGTCAATAAGCCTTTTGACCAAGACTCGAGCCTTGGCAAGACAGTATTTTGTTACAGAAACTAGTCAGGAGCAGTACATACAACCAATGCATTATCTAACAACCAGCATAGTTTAATGTTTTCAACATTCCTCACTGGGTAACAGTATATTTATTTGTCCAATTTTACCAATTAATTACATCTAAGTCCTTCATACTTATCTTCCTAGCAACTTGGGAAATTTTGTATGTACAGTTGCTGAGTCAGCCAAGAAAGTAACATGGGAGAGCTTTACTAATGTAGTTCAGTTATTAGGTAATAATATTTTTTTGCCCTCTTTTTAGGCCTGAATGTTTGTCTATTTTGGCATACCACAACAGACTTGCTTTTCTGGTACAGCTCAAACCTTATGCCTGGGGTTGTGGGAGGTTTTTTGCTGGCCTATATCTGTCTCTTTTTTATCAATAGGGAGCTACTGATTGGGTTAAGGCAGTGGTTCCCAACCCAGTCCTCAAGTAACCCCTAACAGTCCAGGATTTAAGGATTACCCAGTTGTGTCTGAGGTGTTTTTAGAAAGAACAAAACACCTTCAACACAACAGTAATCCCTAAATCCTTGACTGGTAGGGGGTACTTGAGGACTGGGTTGGGACCCCTGGTTTACAGAATTAACTGATTGCTCTGTCAATCAGCGATGCTCCTCTGCCCAACAGACTGGGATTCAGAAGCTGGATTTCACTTGAGGAACCTGCAGATCGTCACTGGAGGCACACTTTGGGGTTACACAGTTCGAGAACGGTGTCAAACGCATGCCAAAAGCCAAACCAATGCATTTTGTATGATACTTCTGTACAGTAACATTTAACATTTTATAAAATGATTTATTCATTTATATTTAGACTTTTTTATTTATATATTAATTTTTTTTTTTCCCCTGGAAGTTACATGATTGTCTGAAAACAATGTTATTTATATGTGAAGACTGTAGGAGATATTTTGTACATTGATTAGTGATACATACTAGTGTATATTAGCTTTAATTAGGTGTACTTATATAAATAGAAACACTCCTAGCTGGATGACAATTAACACTGAGGAAGTATGAAGTATCAGACATATGTTGGCTTGGCTTTTGGCACGTGTGGGACACTATGTACTATAGTATATGAGTCCTTGCTGCGGGTGAAGTTTGATGAGGGCTAATTGCACGAAACTGTGTGGCTGTATTTTGTTTGCTATACCCTGCATCAGTTGGTGAATACATCATCATTCATGGAGATGCAGACTTTTTTTTTTTTTTTTTGCTACAAATGATATTGTCCTATATATAATCTTTTATATTCGTTTTTTTTTATTCAAGTGAGGGTCCCTATCTTTTGTGTGTTGACTCACAGGGTCCAGGTATTTATTTTCTTATGGTTTCCTTTTTAACCCTTCTAAGGATGGAGGTAACTAGTAAGTTCAGATCAAATATTTATATATGGAACAAAATCTTTAAAAAGTTTGAGAAAGTAAGAAATGTTATTGTCTAAGTTTGGCATTGTAACTGTGAATGTCATAATACAGTTAGGTTTTAGGACAATAAAACACATATTTGTGTTCAGCAATGTCTTATGAGTACAACAGTACCCCCATGTACAGGGTCAGATATAAGACTTGCCCATTTCAGTTTTTAAACATCGAAATATGCCAGATTATTTGTTGCATTTGAGACCGTATGGCAGCTCAGGAATGAGAATTACTCCCATAATGGCATTTTTCAAAAGTAGACAATCTAGGATTTTCAAAATGGGGTATGCCCAGACTTTTTTTTTTAGTGCCACTTAGTCACAAACCCTTGCTAAAGTTAGCGTTCATATTAGTTGAGGTTTATTTTTTGTTTTGCATTTTCACACAAATGGCACTTACACTAATGATATCATCATGATACACTTCATTGCTTTGAAACACTTTATATTTGTGCTGCGCAAAGTCTCCCGAGTACAACAGTACCCCCTATGCAAACAGGATTTATAGTGTCTTGAAAAATAACAGGGTTAAATTTAGGGTTTGCAAATTAAACTCTCTGGGCTTTCTGCCTGGGTTATCAGTCAGGTCCCTCAAATTGTAATTACTAAATTATGTAAAAAGATTACATAAAACGACATGTAGAATTTAAATATATATGCATAATTATATATAAATTTATTCTAAGTGTATTTTGATATAAAAAGTTACAATGAAATTTCTCTTAGTTTATATATATATTTATTTTAACTCATTTATGCGAAGTGTATTTTGATATTCATATACAGTTGTAATTCAACCCCCACAGAAAATCAGGTTTGTCAAAAATTTACAGACTGGTGCAATGAACAAATCAAACAAAAGCAATTGCTCAACACAACAAATGCGTCAAGTGGTTTCCCTAAGTTCAACTGAAAATGCAACTTATGACTTATCTACTTATTCAACCCCCTAAATAGAATCCCTCACAACAGTACAAATATGCAAAACAGATGTTGTCTCAAGCACACCTAATGCAACTAATCAAGAGCTTCATTAGTTGCACCAGGTGTGCTTCCGCTGAAACACTTGAAATACCTTACTTATTAGGGGTTTGTTGAGGGTCACGTTTGACTGCATGTTGGAATTATGGCTAAGTCAAAATAATGGTCCACAAAGTTAAAGGACCACTCTAGGCACCCAGACCACTTCAGCTTAATGAAGTGGTCTGGGTGCCAGGTCCAGCTAGAGTTAACCCATTTTTTTTATAAACATTGCAGTTTCAGAGAAACTGCTATGTTTATAAATGGGTTAATCCAGCCCTCAAAGCCTCTAGTGCAGGGGTTCTCAACCCAGTCCTCAGGACCCCCTTACCAGTCCAGGATTTGGGGATTACCTCAGGTGTTTAGAAAAAGAAAAAAAAAAACACCTTAGAGTCTGTGTTTTTTTTCCCCTTTTTCTAAACACCTTAGACACACCCAGGTAATCCCTAAACCCTGGACTGGTAGGGGGTCCTGAGGACTAACATTGAGAACCCCTGCTCTAGTGGCTGTCTCATTGATAGCCGCTAGAGACGCTTGCGTGATTCTCACTGTGAAAATCACAGTGAGAACTCGCAAGCATCCATAGGAAAGCATTGTAAATGCTTTCCTATGAGACCGGCTGAATGTGCGCGCAGCTCCTGCCGCGCATGCGCATTCAGCCCAGGAGGAGGAGAGCTCCCCGCCTGGCGCTGGAGAAAGGTAAGATTTAACCCCTTTCCTCTCCCCAGAGCTTGGCGGGAGGGGGGCCCTGAGGGTGGGAGCACCGTCAGGGCACTATAGTGCCAGGAAAACGAGTGTTTTCCTGGCACTATAGTGATCCTTTAAGAGAAAAGATCATCGTCCTTCACAAATAAGGCACAGGATACAAAAAGATAGCGAAGGCATTGAATGTTCTTAGAGACACCGTTGGAATCATAGTTCACAAGTTCAAAATTGAAGGAACAGTGGTTACACTACCTGGATGGGGCAGAAAAAGGAAGGTATCAATGGCTGCAACCAGATTTCCTGGAAAAGTCTACAGTTGCCATCAGTCACCCAACTTCAACCCAATAGAAAATCTGTGGTGGGATTTGAAGAAGGTGGTTGCAGCAAGAATATTACTCAACTGGAGGGCATTGCTCATGAGCAATTGGCCAGGATTCCTGTGGAACACTGCCAGAAGTTTGTGTTTGGCTATGCACCTTGTTTGCAGCAGGTCATAACAGAAAAAGGGTGCTCAACTATGTACTTAAGATGCTTGCCATTAAGGGGTTGAACAAAGACTGGAGGAGTGTCACGTATTCATCCACACACAAAAATGTGGTTAAGGCATTTACTGTCCTGACAGGAAAAGTTGTGCCGAGCAGCAATCAAATCCACAGGAGGGTTTGTGCTGAGCAGCAATCATGCAAATGGAAACCTGGTAATTGCCTTTGGGGTCAAAAGGCCGGTTTCAGCCAATCTGATCCACAGGAGGGGTATTTAGGCCCAGTTCTCCTCTTGCTCAGTGCCCTGTCATGGTTTCATGCCTATGGTTATCCGAGAGTGCGTTCCTGATCTTGATTTTCTGGTATTTGACTTTTGTTTTGACTTCCCTGATATCTGGTATCCTTGACTTTTGGCATTCCCTCATCTTTGTGTCTGATTCTGTGTCCCTGACCTCGGCAAGTATTTTGACGATTCTTGGAGACGTTAAGTCTGGCAATTCTAAGGTCCGGTTATAAGTTATCCTTAGTCCTAGGTGTGACACGGTACTGCATGCTGGATCAACTTGTAATCCTGACATAAATTGCATTTTCAGTTGAATTTGGGGAAACCCCTTGAAGCATTTGTTGTTTTGAGCTATTTCTTTTTTTTTGCAATTTACATTTTTCTTTATTTTCCAAATTATTTCCAGTAAAGGAAAATGAACAAAAAACAAGGGGATACAGAAAAAAAAAAAAAAAGGGTTTGGGGTACAGTCGGTAGAGTTACATTATTTCATCATATACTCATCGTACAATGTTATGTTATACTCATACTTCATTTAAATAAAATTCATAATGTATACGTCCTGACCGCATTTGTTTTGTTTTATTTTCCCTGATAAATACTGGTGTGTCCACTATAAAATTCACCTCAGGGAAATTTAACCGTTACAAAAAGAAGAGAAGGAAAAAAAAAAAAAAATGTCTCTCTACTCCGGTCTTCATATGTTTAGATTAAACTGACAATAGAGGCTTATATTCAGTTTAGCTGCTTAATGTTGTTAAAATACATTAAGTTAAATTAAGTATTAAATTAAATTAAATGTCCTGCTTATTGTATATGCCTTAAATTATGTTCACACCTAACCAGGATAAGTAAAAAGACTCAATTTTAACACCTCATATACCCTCAACGTATGTAATATACCACATCTCTCTTATACTGCAGAGGCTCAATCCTGAAGGGCTGGGCCGATTCGTTTATTTCTACTGGGTTGGATTCTAAATTATATTTCTGATAGTAACCATAGAAAAAATAAGTTTAATTTATCATATCCTGTACTGAATATATACTCCACATATCTATCAAACTTATTTCATTATTGTCTTTGTATATAAATTTTCCAACAATTAGCTACTTTTAGACTTAACTTCCCAATTTTAGTCTGATCCCACATGATAAGCTCATAATCTATAGTCAGAGACATTAATGTTTTGATTTCATCTATTGTAGGTAAGCTTGTAGTCTTCCAATTTCTCGCTATAAAGATTGAGACTATAGATAATAATAAAAAGATTAATTTACGCGTAACTTTAGGTATATGGTCCGGAAAAGCTTTGAGAAGTAGCATTTTCGGTGTGTGGTCTGGCTTATAAGATGTCACCTCTTGGATCATTATTTCAACCTCTCGCCATAAGCTATTAACTCTTTCACATGTCCACCAAATATGGAGCATAGTTCCTTTATGAGAGTGGCATCTCCAGCATATATCTTGTGCATCAGAATACATTGCATGAATACGAGTAGGTACCATATACCATCTATATAAGATTTTCCGTGCTATTTCAAAGTGTCCTATACAAGAAGACATTCCCAAATGTGCCGTAAAAATGTTGTTCCATTCATCTTCTGATATGATTTCTTGGATATCAGTTTGCCAATCTATCATAAATTTAGGTGTTGCTGTTTCTCTTGAATTTATTAAAATATTGTAACAAAGTGATAGTACTTTCCTAGGTGGAATTAATGCTATGCACATCTCTTCAAATTTCGTGACTAACTTTCGGGTTGTTCGGTGTCCTGCATATAGATTATTATTGGCCAAAAGAGCTTTAATCTGCAAGTATGCAAATTTAAATTGTGGCGGAAGTGTAAATTCTGATTGGAGAGTCGGAAAAGACTTTAACCCCTCTATAGTATAAAGTTTAAAAATGTGTGTAATTCCTTTTCTATGCCATTGTAAATAAGGAAATGTTTCGTTACAACTATGTAAAGTTCTTATAGGGGTTGCCAGTGACCATGGGTACCCTGAACATAAACTTCCTCTATTACTATCCCAAATTTTAAATAGAAGTCTTGTCGGGTACAATATATCAGAAGTTACTTTCTGTTTTTGTGGGGGGAGCCATATTAAAGAATAAAAATCTTGTGTTCCACAACAATGTGCTTCTATTGCTGCCCATTGCGGAGTATATCTTTGTGGGTTAATAGAGGCTATATTGTTTAAGATTGCAGCAGAATAATATATTTTCAAATTTGGAAACCCCATACCCCCACTTTTCACTTGTCTCATTATTAAACCTTTTGAAACTCGGGGATGCTTCCCACCCCAACTAAACCGTAGCAATATAGCTTGTAAAGATGTAATAAATGTTTGTGGAACCTTAATCTGTAATGATCTGAATAGGTAAAGTATTTTTGGTAAAATTTGCATCTTAATTGCTGATATTTTACCTATCCATGATAATGATACGTTTCCCCAGGCTTTCAATTGGCTTTCTGTATCTCTAAATAATTTTTTGTAATTGGCTGAAAATAAATCTTTTTCTTTTTTAGTAAATCTGATTCCTAAATAAAGTAGATAATCTTCCCTCCAATCGTAATGGTAATCTAATTTAAGTCTATCCTCTTTAAATTTAGGAATATTAAGACACATTGCTTGCGATTTACTTGTATTGAGCTTATAGTACGAGTTTTGACTATATAAACATAATTCTTTCTTTAAATTTGGTAAAGAGATATGTGGCTGAGTAATTGTTAACAAAATGTCATCTGCATAAGCGTTGAGTTTATATTCGCTCCACCCTATTTGAACTCCCTGGATATCTTCATTTTGGCGTATAGCTGTAAGTAAAGGCTCTAAAGCAAGAACATAGAGCAACGGCGATAAGGGGCAACCCTGACGTGTTCCATTAGTAATATTAAACGGTCTTGAACGTTTTGAGCTATTTCAATTTCCTTTGTTTGATTTGTTCATTGCAAACAGCTGAAAGTCTGTAGATTGACAATAAACCTGATTTTCAATGGGGATTGAATAATTCTGATTGTGTGTGTGTGTGTGTGTGTATTAAAATACACTGATAATAAAGTTGTGTGTGTGTATAGATATTTACTTAGAATATATATATCTTGACCCGTTCTCCCCCTCTAACTATCGTCCTATGTTCCTGCTCCCTTTTTCCTCAAAGCTTCTGGAAAGACTTGACTTTACCCATGTGTCTAATTTCCTCAATTCCAACTCTCTCCTTGACCCTCTTCAATCTGGCTTCCGCCCTCTCCACTATACGGAGACTGCGCTTATCAAAGTTACTAACGACCTAATTGCAGCTAAATCCAAAGGCCACTACTCCATACTAATTCTTCTTCACCTCTCTGCTGCCTTTGACACCGTTGATTATGCTCTCCTTCTTCAAACTCTTCGATCACTCAGTCTCTGTGACTCTTGTCTTCTCGTGGTTTTCCTCTTATCTCTCCCAATGCTCATTCAGTGTCTCCTTTTCTAATAACACCTCTGCCCCTTGTCCTGTTTCGGTTGGAGTCCCCCAAGGCTCTGTCCTTGGTCCCCTTCTATTTTCTCTTTATACTGCCTCTCTTGGCAAACTTATTACCTCTTTGGATTCAACTACCACCTGTACGCTGATGACACCCAGATATATATCTCCTCCCCGGACCTCTTTCCTGCCGTCCTGCAGCGTGTCACTGCTTGACTTTCTTTCATCTCTGACTGGATGTCCTCCCGCTTTCTGAAACTCAATCTCTCTAAAACTGAGCTTGTCTTTTCTCCTCCTAATACTGATCCTCCTCTTTCGCTCTCCCTTCAAGTTAGTGGTATCCACATAAGTCCATCCTTGCAAGTGCGCTGTCTTGGCATCATACTTGATTCTGGCCTCACATCCAGTATGTTGCCAAATCCTGTAGATTCCATCTTAAAAACATAGCCCCCAACCGCCCCTTTCTTACGCAAGATGCTACCAAGGAGCTTGTCCATGGTCTAGTAATTTCCTGCATGGATTATTGTAACCCTCTCCTGATTGGTCTTCCCAAAAGCCGTACTGCACCGCTACAGTCCATAATGAATGCTGCCGCCACACTGATTTTCCTCTCTAGTCTGTTCTCTCACACCTCACCCAATTGTCAGTCCTTACATTGGCTTCCTGTATCCTTTAGGAGTCAATTCAAGGTACTAATTCACACCTATAAAGCACTGAACAATTCTATCCTCTCTTATCTCCTCACAGATCCATAGGTATGTCCCTTCTCGGTATCTCCGCTCTGCCCGTGACCACCTCCTGTCCGTTGTTTGCACCCATATGGCCAACTCACGCTTGCAAGATTTCTCGCGGGCGGCTCCCTTCCTATGGAATAGACTGCCTACTGCCATCAGACTCTCCCCTAGTCTTGCATCTTTTAAGAAGTGCCTTAAAACCCATCTCTTTAGGAAAGCTTATGGCCTCCCACAGTAACCTCTACCTTACATACCTGTCTCTTGCTCTCTACTCTCTCCTCCAGCTCTGCCTCACTCCCACCTTATTTGATTGCAAATTCCTGTCCTATTGTGTTTTACACCCCACCTCCTATAGAATGTAAGCTCGTTTGAGCAGGGTCCTCCTCTTCAACCTATCATTCCCATAAGTTTTTTGTAATTGTCCTATTTATAGTTAAATCCCCCCCTCTCACAATCTTGTAAAGTGTTACGGAATCTGTTGGCGCTATATAAATGGCAAATATATATATATATATATATATATATATATATATATATATATATATATATATATATATATATATATATATATATATATATATATATATATATATCTCTAATCAATAAAGGAGCACTCCAAAGGATTTTGAAAAAATATATTTATAGTCCGGTGTTAAAAAATCAAATCATCAATGTTTCGACCCAATAGGGTCTTTATCAAGTGTGTATATATATATATATATATATATATATATATATATATATATACACACACACACACACACACACACCTCTCTCAAAAAATTAAAGGCAACACAAAAATAAGACATCCTAGATCTGAATGAATTAAATATTCTTCTGAAATACTTTGTTCTTTACATAGTTGAATGTGCTGACAACAAAATCACACAAAAATAAAAAAATGGAAATCAAATTTTTCAACCCATGGAGGTCTGGATTTGGAGTCACACTCAAAATTAAAGTGGAAAAACACACTACAAGCTGATCCAACTTTTATGTAATGTCCTTAAAACAAGTCAAAATGAGGCTCAGTAGTGTGTGTGTGGCCTCTAAGTGCCTGTATGAGGGATCTCCTCCCAGACCTGGACTAAAGCATCTGCCAACTCCTGGACAGTCTGTGGTGCAATGGAACGTGACATGATGTCCCAGATGTCCTCAACTGGATTCAGGTCTGGGGAACGGGCGGGCCAGTCCATAGCATCAATGCCTTCTTCTTGCAGGAACTGCTGACACACTCCAGCCACATGAGGTCTAGCATTGTCTTGCATTAGGAGGAACCCAGGGGCAACCGCACCAGCATATGGTCTCACAAGGGGTCTGAGGATCTCATCTCGGTACCTAATGGCAGTCAGGCTACCTCTGGCGAGCACATGGAGGGCTGTGCGGCCCCCCAAAGAAATGCCACCCCACACCATTACTGACTGTAGCGGAGGAGCAGGGGTTAATCCAAGGGCTCTCCGCTGGGAACAAAGATTCAGCATACAAAATCACAGGAACACAGCATAATCCACCTCCCCAAGGACTAGACGACACATAGTCTGGGAGTCAACTGCCAGCTTTATTCACAGGTCTGCTTTTATGCATTTCTCCCATGCAAGGGAGGTAACTTTCATAATTTGTACAGTAACCAATTGTAACCCGGTCACCTCCCCTCCCTCTCCTCCCCTTAGATTAACAGTTAAACAGATTAGAGTTTTCCCTACTTTCTGGATGTCCCCTAAATACAGGGGGTACAGGGACAAATAAGGGGTCCCCTGGTAGGTCTGATCTGGGTGAGCAACATACTTGAAATTCACATAGATCGGACCAGGAGTTCGGGAGTTACAGACTGTTAAAGATTTGACTGACCGCAGGGACTTAGTAGCCGAAAACAGTTCCATGAATTCTGGCCCTGCGGTCGGTCTATTTCAGTGAACCACAAATACCGAACAGTTAGCCATCCATGCGATTGCTACCATTCGTATGATTCCCCTCGTTCTAATAAAAACATAATACCATGAAAGTCAATTCGTGTGGTTATTCCCTTGGTGAAATACACCTATTCACACAGAATAAGTAGTCCAAGTGGCAGGGTTTGCCACAATGCTCCCCCAGAACCAAGCCGGCATACACAGTCTGATCCCAACGGATCAGCTTGGGGATGTCCGGGAGAGTGCTCACAGATCATTTTTCTAGTTCTGTCTGTTGGGACAACCCGTTGGCGTTACCATTTTGTTTTCCCGGGCGGTACTGGATGGTGAAATCAAAAGGCTGCAGCGCCAAGCTCCATCTCAGCAGTCTAGCGTTGTCCCCTGACACCCGGTTTAGCCACACCAACGGGTTGTGATCTGTGAGCAAGGCAAATTGTTGTCTATATAAATAGGGCTGTAGTTTCTTGAGGGCCCACACTACCGCCAGGCATTCCTTCTCGATGGCGGCATAGCTTACTTCCCTGGGTAGTAGTTTCCGACTTAAGTAAGCGATGGGATGTTCGCCGCCATCGGCCCCGACCTGGCTCAGCACTGCCAATCAAAACATAGAAGCGTCTGTATGAACGAGAAAGCGTTTAGTTGGATCGGGAGCGGCACATACAGGTGCATGAATTAGGGCAGTTTTCAGTTCTTGGAATGCCTTCTCACACTCTGGGCTCCAGGTCACTACTTTGGGCAGGTTCTTCTTGGTGAGGTCAGTAAGGGGCTTTGCTAGGGCACTATAACTGGGCACAAATTTACGGTAATAACCGGCGGTCCCTAAAAAAGCTAAAACCTGGGTTTTAGTGCCCGGGGTCGGCCACTTAGCTACGGTCTCTATCTTAGCAGGTTCTGGCTTTTGCTGCCCACTGCCTACTCTGTGGCCCAAGTACTGTACTTCAGCCATCCCTACATGGCACTTGCTGGGTTTTAACGTGAGACCTGCCTCCCTAATGCGGTCGAGGATGGCTCCTATATATGAGTTAAATGCTCGTCCCAGGAGTTGCTAAAGATCGCTATATCATCCAAATAGGCACAAGCATACTCCTGGGATCCATCCAGTAGCCGATCTACCATCCGCTGAAAGGAAGCCGGCGCATTCTTCATCCCGAATGGCATCACCTTAAATTGGTATAGCCCAAACGGGGTGACGAATGCGGACTTTGGGATGGCATCCTCGGCTAGTGGGATCTACCAGTATCCTTTGCACAAGTCTATTGTGGTGAGATACTGGCCCCTGGCCATTTTATCTAGGAGCTCATCGATTCTAGGCATAGGGTAGGCATCAGAAATCGTTTTATCGTTAAGTTTCCGGTAGTTGACGCAGAAACGGGTGGTTCCGTCCTGCTTCGGCACCAGCACTACCGGAGAGGCCCATGGGCTATCTGAGTGTTCTATCACTCCTAGCTGCAGCATTTCGTCAATCTCCTTCCGCATTTCATCTTTTACAGATTCGGGTATGCGGTAGGGGGTTTGCCGAAGAGGGTGTTGCCCTGGGGTTTCTACCCTGTGGGTAGCCAGGGGGCTGATTGGAAAATGTATCCCTTTTCACTCTGATCAGCTCTAGTATTTGAGCTAGCTGTGACTCAGCCTGTCTCCTAGCTGTACTTCCCCTAATTCTGTGTCAGGCCCCCCTTTTTCTAATAGGTCCGGTAGCGGTAAGTTGTCTGGGTCCTCGGCAGCCGAAGCACATATGGCAGTTACTTCCTCGGTCCGCTCGTGATACGGTTTCAACATGTTAACGTGGAGCATGCGTTTACCGCCCGCTCCCGTACATGGGGCAATTATATAGGTGGTGTCACATACCTGTTCAACCACTTTATAAGGGCCCTGCCATGAGGCCTGCAGTTTGTCATTTTGGACCGTCTTCAAGATTAGCACCTTTTGCCCTATTTGAAAACTGCGGTCCCTGGCTCCCCTATCGTACCACCTGCGCTGTCGTTGCTGGGCCGCCTGGAGATTGGACCGTACCGTCTGGATTAGGGTCTCCAAGCGCTCCCTGAATTCTAGCACATATGGGACGATAGGGGTACCGTTACAGGTGACAGTTCCTTCCCAGTGTTCCCTAATGAGGTCTAAAGGACCCTGCACTCTCCTTCCGAATAGTAATTCGAATGGCGAGAACCCTGTGGACTCCTGGGGTACCTCTCGGTAAGCGAAGAGCAGATGGGGAAGAAACCTTTCCCAGTCCTTCTGGGTATCCATGAACGTACGGAGCATTTGCTTTAATGTTCCGTTGAAACGTTCACAGAGCCCATTGGACTAAGGGTGATATGCTGAGTTTACAATAGGTTTCACCCCACATGTTCTCCATAACTGGTGAGTGAATTCGGCCGTGAATTGGGTACCCTGATCCGAGATAATCTCCTTAGGAAACCCCATTCTGGAGAATATCCGGATCAGGGCATCCACTATAGTTACGGCATGGATATTAGTTAGGGCCACTGCCTCTGGGTACCGGGTAGCATAGTCTACTACTGTTAGGATGTACTTTTTCCCGGACGGACTGGGTTTTGCTAGGAGTCCAATTATATCAACGGCCACCCTACTAAAGGGCTCATCTATTATGGGAAGGAAGTGCATTTTTGCCTTGTATAGGTCTCCTCTCTTCCCTACCCTCTGGCACGTATCGCAAGTTTGGCAATACTGCCGGATATCTTTGAAGACCCCTGGCCAAAAGAAGTTTTGGGTCAAACGGTGTTTCGTCCTACTGACGCCTAGGTGTCCTGACAAAGGGATGTCTTGGGCAATACGTAACAACTCTTGCCTGTACTTTTTGGGCACTACTAATTGTGTGAGGGTCATGGGTACAGATCCTGCTACTACCTTCTCTGCGTACCTGTACAATAATCCTTTCTCCCAAGCATATCTCTCCCCCTCTAACCCTGCCTGATTCTGCGTAACCCTATCCCAGTATACCTGCAAGGACGGGTCGGTGACTACTTCAGTACCAAATTCTAAGGGGGAGCCCAGGGGACGAAAGGGGGTGTAGGACTGTTGCTTACCTGAGCCTCAGAGTGTTCAGAAGATGCGGTAGTTCGAGCCTGCTGCCGTGTTACAACGGGTAGCGCTTCCTGCGCGGGGTGCTGAGAAACAAAAGCGGAGGTCAGCTCCCCCAAGTCGTTGCCCAGGATGACATCAGCTGGTAGATCCTAAATGAGGCCCACTTCCACATTCCCTGACCCCGCTCCCCAATCCAAATGTACCTTGGCAGTGGGAATTTTGTAAATAGCTCCCCCTGCCACCTGAACTGCCACATATTCTCCAGTGAGCTGGTTCTTGGGAACTAGGTGATTGCGCACCAGAGTTATGGTGGCCCCAGAGTCGCGCAGACCCTGGAGGTGTTTTCCCTCTACGTGCACCCCTTGGCGGTGTCCCTGTCGGTTGTCTGCAGCCGCTTGTATTGGGTTAACCTCGTGGAGGGTGCCCAAAGGTTCTTCATTGGACCCGGCCCAGAAGTGAGGTTGTCGGGGCTCACTCTGGTAGCAGTGTACCGCTGCTCGGTTTGCAGGGGAATTGGTTGGGGTATTCCACGTGGAGCGGTTTTTGTTCCTGGGGCAGTCTCTCTGCATGTGACCCTGCTGGTTACACGTGTGGCACCTGATGAAAGATCGGGCATTGTTGTACCGTGGAGGGGTTTGGTAGTTCCCACCACCCGGACGCAGTGATGGGGTGGAGGTAACAGTGGGAGGCGTGGTAGCAGCTCCCGAGGTGGGCCGTGACTGTGCCCGCTGTGCCCTTCTGGCATCTTGGTACTCGTCTGCCAACCTGGCTGCGTCGGTTAAGGTGCGTGGTTTCCGGTCCCACAGCCAGTTTTGTAAATCCGGGGTTAATCCCTGGAAGAATTGCTCCAATAGCAGTAACTGTAGCATATCCTCCACTGTGGTCGCTTGTGCGGCTTGCACCCATCCTTTGCCCTCCCTAGTTAAGCGGTGTGCCCACTCCATGTGGGGGTGTCTCTGTCTTTCGGCTTTCTCTGAACCACTGCTGGTATGCCTCTGGGGTGATGGCATACCTGGTCAAGATTGCCTGTTTTACTTTCTGGTAGTCCCTGCTGTCCTCGTCTGGCATGGTGCGGTAGGCTTCTGCTGCCCGGCCCGCTAGCTTGCCCACCAGCAGGGGTACCTGGTCAGCAGCGTCAATCTCGTGTAGTTGGCATAACCTCTCAAAGTCATGCAGGTAGCCATCAATGCCCTCGGTTTCCACAGGCTTTAAAAGCATGGTACGGAATTTTAGGCTTCCCTTGTACTATGCGTGATGGGGTTGGAGACCCCTCTCTGGACCTCCGATTTGCCTGCTGCTTTGCCATGATGTATTCGTGAACATCTGCCATAATCCTTTCCAAGGTTTCTCTGGGAGGTGTATCTGGGAAAAAGGCCAGTCTGCTTTGGAGTTCTCTTCCAAACTCATTCTGTGTGCTGTCCATAAGAGGTGCTGCAGCAGCTGCCCGGTCTCCCTCCATGAGTTCAACAATAAGGCTAGCTTTTACTTTATTGCTGGCAATAATTCCCCTTGCTTCCAATAGCTCGTTTAGCGTGGCCCGTTTCAAGCTGGTATAATCTGTCCGCATTCACTATCCGTTCGGCTATATTCACATACCTTTTCCTTTCGGTTCCATACGAATAGCAAATTTCCACGAATGGCTGTAACTGCCGAACAACGGTCTGCTGTGAGGTTTGAATCCCACCGCTGCCACCAATTGTAGCGGAGGAGCAGGGGTTAATCCAAGGGCTCTCCGCTGGGAACAAAGATTCAGCATACAAAATCACAGGAACACAGCATAATCCACCTCCCCAAGGACTAGACGACACATAGTCTGGGAGTCAACTGCCAGCTTTATTCACAGGTCTGCTTTTATGCATTTCTCCCATGCAAGGGAGGTTCAATTTGTTAGTATAACTATGCTACACCTTATTAATATAAAATGTGGCTGACACTCATAGGACATGCTATATTGTATTATCATGCTCCCAATCTGTACAAAAATGTGCATTCCCTACTCTTTATTCTGTACCCAGTCTTATAAATGCCTCAATAAAAGAAAGATTGACAAAAAAAATAATTGGTTTTACTGTTTAACACAGTTGATGGTGGTATGTTACCACCATCTACTGTCTGTTTTCAGAATTACCCTTATTTTACTATTGAATGAAGCCTGGTTCCCGGACAATTATATAGAGATCGGTGCTGGGAAGCTGGCAAAGACCCAGTCCCAATTGGCTGTGAACACACTGGAAGACCCTGGAAGGTCTCCCCAAAGTTGCCTGCACCCCAGAAAAATACGGCTGAGTGCAATTGCGCTCGGCTGCAGTTTTATGAATACAGTACTAAGTTCCAGCAATGCATTCATTGGTCAGTCTGGGGCCACTAAAATTGGCCCCAGCTGACTTATAGGAGCAGTGGTATGAGCAGAGATTTAAACCATGCTCACACCAAATATGCAGGATGCCGCCCTACAGGCTTTTAAACTCACTTTATCAAGCACAACAGAATGTCCTAACATCCTAGAGGGGATTATCCACAGCTGTATTTTGCTCTCTTTGGAAAACGAGTGTCTTCATATTGGCTTACTGCGGAGCGGCTGCAGCCTAGTGGGGGCTCTTACATCCCAGGCAAGCCCCCTCCAGACTAAACTGAAATCTGCTTTTCCAGCCATGTGATCACAATGTCATTGCGATCCCATGGCCCGGAAGGTCCAGATTAGCCACAGTGGGGCTGCCTCGGTTGTCATGCAGGTCCCCCCAGTGCGATGTCCTGCGGCGGTTAGTTAAGCAGCGAGGATGGCTAGGATGTGATAGGCCCCCCATTTAGGACCGCCTCCTTAAGGATGGCATGCAACACGTGCCATCCATAAGGGGTTAAAGATTCTTTTTTTCTTTAAAATGAAACAGTCATTTCACAGGATTTTTATTCTTGTGTTTACGTATGTCATACATTTACCAAATATATGTTTGTGAGATCTGAAAAATCAGATTTAACACCTTAAGGACAGAGACAATTGTTCTAGAGATTTAAGGGTTTCTCTTCAAGTGCCCCCATACATACTATAAATAAATTTTCAAGGACAGTAAGAGTTTGCTTTTAACATCCTATACGTATACTCTACACTTACCCAAACCACTAACCCCAATCCTAAGGTAACCCATTGCTAATATCAATTCTGATTAGATCTATTAAACATTGGTTTTACAGGGGGGGGGGGTTGACTGGCATGGCGGACAGACGCAACTTGAGGGAGCTCCCAACTAACCTACACTTCCAAGCGACTTGCTGGGGCTCCCACCGCACAAAAATCGACCCAGAGACTTACCTACTGCAGACGACGGCTGGAGTGTCCCGACGAAGAAAGGCGGGATGCCGACCGTCAGCAGCAGTGCGGAGCGGCTGCGGCCTAGTGGGGGCTCCGGGCGGGAGTCCCTTGCCTCTCCTACCTGTAAGACCACACAGGGTCCTGCTTCCCCCCCACAGTGCCAGGGGGGATATCCCAGTCCACCACATACAGCATAGATCTGGTCCCGACCCAAATACAGGAGACCAACATGGCCGAACGGAGGTAGGGGGAACAAACGCCACGTGGGTGCTCGGCAAAGCAGCGGACAAGCTGGGTTTAGGATTCCAGGTTGGAGAGAAAGAAAGACTTTTGGCACAAATTAGAAGTGAAGATGTACCATCCAGCTCAAACCCACCCAACTACCAGCTTCCCGCACAAACGTCAGCCTGACCCGCTGCAATTAAACAAGCAACCTGAGATAAAACGAAACCCAGCATGGCAGAGGGGAAAAAAGCTCCAAACTAAGACGAAGAGCAGGAGGGATGAGCTGCGACCCCATCCGCGGATGGCGTTCCGAACTCAGGCCGGCATACCCAGCTCACTCCGCGAGACTCCAGTCAGGCCCAAAGCTACACCCACAGCTACAAATCGCGACCCACAAACCAACGCCTCCACTACTTATCGGAGGCTACTACGGTGGGCCATCCACATTGCCTTCCCAGGCCGAAGACCACAAGGAGTCAATCTCCGATACACTGACCACATCGCCAGAGGCTTGTCCGCCGCTGGCGGCGGCATAACATCCAAGCCCCACCTGGCGCCTGACGAAGGGACGACCCAGCCTCTCTGAGTAACTGAGTCGGTGGATCACGGGTGCAGGCCTTCTTCATGACCCGGGGCACCTCTGGGGCTTGTACAGAACGACAGTGCCACCATACCCACTATGCCAACCCATGCTGCGGCCCTACCCAGCAGAGGTATAGGCTAAACTAGCCCCTCAAACTGGCCATCCCACCAACAACAAACTAAACGGAGGGCAACTGGGGACCTAGCCGGAACAGCCCGCATGGACTCTCCTTGCTGGACTTTGACCGACAGATAAGCGCACCACACTGCCCAAGGGCATAAATTTACAGCCACATAAAGCTAGTGGGTCGGGAGATGGACTACCACGTGCAGATATGTTTTAATTTTGATGTTGTTTTATTGTTGGTTAGGCCTAGCACCGTGGGTATAGGTGGGGTATGTTAGTTTATTACACTCACGTAAACTGACCTTCGAAACATAGAGTGTTAATGACAAGCACATTAAGCCCACGAACACGCCATGTTGGCCCACAGTTTAGCCTTAATTTCTCAGTCACCCTATTTATGCTAGGCCGAAACGCTACTGTAAACACGTGTTTCACAACTAAAATGTTCAGATATGTATTAACCCGACTCTAACCTTCAACAAGATAGAAAGCAATTAGTCACAATGCCCAATCCATAAAAGGTTTACAGCACATTCTTTCAGCCTGTGTTTACAATGCTTCGTTACTTTTACTACTGATCGTTCAACTTGTTAGTATAACTATGCTACACCTTATTAATATAAAATGTGGCTGACACTCATAGGAGATGCTATATTGTATTATCATGCTCCCAATCTGTACAAAAATGTGCATTCCCTACTCTTTATTCTGTACCCCGTCTTATAAATGCCTCAATAAAAGAAAGATTGACAAAAAAAAAAAAAATTGGTTTTACTGTTTAACACAGTTGATGGTGGTATGTTGCCACCATCTACTGTCTGTTTTCAGAATTACCCTTATTTTACTATTGAATGAAGACTGGTTCCCGGACAATTATATAGAGATCGGTGCTGGGAAGCTGGCAAAGACCCAGTCCCAATTGGCTGTGAACACACTGGAAGACCCTGGAAGGTCTCCCCAAAGTTGCCTGCACCCCAGAAAAATGCGGCTGAGTGCAATTGCGCTCGGCTGCAGTTTTATGAATACAGTACTAAGTTCCAGCAATGCATTCGTTGGTCAGTCTGGGGCCACTAAAATTGGCCCCAGCTGACTTATAGGAGCAGTGGTATGAGCAGAGATTTAAACCATGCTCACACCAAATATGCAGGATGCCGCCCTACAGGCTTTTAAACTCACTTTATCAAGGACAACAGAATGTCCTAACATCCTAGAGGGGATTATCCACAGCTGTATTTTACTCTCTTTGGAAAACGAGTGTCTTCATATTGGCTTACTGCGGAGCGGCTGCGGCCTAGTGGGGGCTCTGGGGGGCTCTTACATCCCAGGCAAGCCCCCTCCAGACTAAACTGAAATCTGCTTTTCCAGCCATGTGATCACAATGTCATTGCGATCCCATGGCCCGGAAGGTCCAGATTAGCCACAGTGGGGCTGCCTCGGTTGTCATGCAGGTCCCCCCAGTGCGATGTCCTGCCATCCATAAGGGGTTAAAGATTCTTTTTTTCTTTAAAAGGAAACAGTCATTTCACAGGATTTTTATTCTTGTGTTTACGTATGTCATACATTTACCAAATATATGTTTGTGAGATCTGAAAAATCTGATTTAACACCTTAAGGACAGAGACAATTGTTCTAGAGATTTAAGGGTTTCCCTTCAAGTGCCCCCATACATACTATAAATAAATTTTCAAGGACAGTAAGAGTTTGCTTTTAACATCCTATATGTATACTCTACACTTACCCCCACCACTAACCCCAATCCTAAGGTAACCCATTGCTAATATCAATTCTGATTAGATCTATTAAAAATTGGTTTTACAGGGGGGGCTGACTGGCATGGCGGACAGACGCAACTTGAGGGAGCTCCCAACTAACCTAGAAACATAGAATGTGACGGCAGATAAGAACCATTCGGCCCATCTAGTCTGCCCAATTTTCTAAATACTTTCATTAGTCCCTAGTCTTATCTTATAGTTAGGATAGCCTTATGCCTATCCTACACATGCTTAAACTCCTTTACTGTGTTAACCTACACTTCCAAGCGACTTGCTGGGGCTCCCACCGCACAAAAATCGACCCAAACAGAGACTTACCTACTGCAGACGACGGCTGGAGTGTCCCAAAGCAGAAAGGCGGGATGCCGACCGTGAGCAGCAGTGCGGAGCGGCTGCGGCCTAGTAGGGGCTCCGGGCGGGAGTCCCTTGCCTCTCCTACCTGTAAGACCACACAGGGTCCTGCTTCCCCCCCACAGGGCCAGGGGGGATATCCCGGTCCACCACATACAGCATAGATCTGGTCCCGACCCAAATACAGGAGACCAACATGGCCGAAAGGAGGTAGGGGGAACAAACGCCACGTGGGCGCTCAGCAAAGCAGCGGACAAGCTGGGATAGGATTCCAGGTTGGAGAGAATCTTCCAAGACTTTTGGCACAAATTAGAAGTGAAGATGTACCGTCCAGCTCAAACCCACCCAACTACCAGCTTCCCGCACAAACGTCAGCCTGACCCGCTGCAATTAAACAAGCAACCTGAGATAAAACGAAACCCAGCATGGCAGAGGGGAAAAAAGCTCCAAACTAAGATGAAGAGCAGGAGGAATGAGCTGCGACCCCATCTCTGGTAATCATTGTTATTAGCTCTGCCCTTATCTGTCAATGAATATAGTATGTCGAGGTGGTAAAACTGAATGTTTGATTCCCCCTCCATTGCAATGTATGCCTTGACTGTGCCAGCACTAAACTGGATTGTATTCAGTGGTATAATTACCAGACTGTACTCCTTAAAGTATTATTGCCTATTTAAAGGGATCCTATAGTGCCAGGAAAACAAAGCCATTTTCCTGACACTATTAGGTTCCCCCCCCCCCCTCAGCCACTTACCTGAATACAGCGCTGATGTCCCTCGGCGCTAGGTCAGGCTCTGCCCATGCTCCTCCCCCGCCAACATCAGCCGGCAGGAGAGACCTAATTCGCATGCCGCGTGCATTAGACCTCCCCATAGGAAAGCATTATTCAATGTGTTCCTATGGGTAAAATCTGATGCTGGAGGTCCGTGAGGATTATGTCCGTCGGTTATGATTCCGGAAGCGCCCCCAGTCGCTGTTAGGCAGCCACTGGGGGCAGACTTAGCGCTGCAATGTAAACATTGCAGTTCTCTGGAACTGCAATGTTTTACATTGCAGCACTAAGTGCTAAAGGTTCACAGCACCCAGACTACTTCAAAGAGCTGAAGTGATCTGGATGCCTACAGTGTCCCTTTAACTGCCCACTAAATTGTATGTAGATTGGAGGAATTATGAAAAGCTCCCATGAGTCCCAACATTAAATGGGTCCTGGTAATCCCTCACCCGAAACTCAAGCTATGAAAAGTTGGTATTTTACACATTTTGTGAACAGATAGCAGTTAATTTGCAAATTATATGTTTTATGTTATTACTAAGCCAACAAAGCCCTTATTGAATAACAACCAATACAAGAAGCAAGCTACATCACAGATTAAAGCTAATTTTTAAAAGTTCAAAGGACACTATAGTCACCAGAACAACTACAGCTTAATGTAGTTGTTCTGGTGAGTATAATAGCTCCCTTCAGGCTTTTTTAATGTAAACACTGCCTTTTCAGAGAAAAGTCAGTGTTTACATTGCCCCTAAGGACACCTCCAAGTGGCCACTCCTTAGTCACTGGAGGAGCTTCCTGGCTCAGTGCTGCACAGTAAGCAGCCCTGCCGTTCAGCGTCCCCACGCTCTGCATGGAGACGCTGAATTTTCCTCATAGAGATGCATTGATTCAATGCATCTCTATGAGAAGATCCTGATGGACAAAAATGGCATTTGGCCCCGCCCTGTGCCGTTTTTAGCCAATCCAATGCTTTCCTTATGGCAGGCAGGAGAGACCTAATTCGCATGCCGCGTGCATTAGACCTCCCCACAGGAAAGCATTATTCAATGTGTTCCTATGGGTAAAATCTGATGCTGGAGGTCTCTATGGGAAAGCATTGGATTGGCTAAAAATCGGCCATTTTGATTTTGTCACAATGGGGTGGAGCCAGCGCCACTGGAGCCACACGGTGCTGGAAATAAGGCGAGTTTTAAACTTTTATAGGAAGATTAAGTGGGGGCAAGCTACCTAAATGGTGGGTTTAGCACTATAGGATCAGGAATACATGTTTGTGTTCCTGACCTTATAGTGATCCTTTAAGGCACAGGTTCTCCTGATTCTTTGACATAAGACATTAATGTCCCCTTAATATAATTGTATTAGGTTCAAAATATGTATGACAAACAGATAAAAAGGGAGAAATGAACAACAGTATATATCGTAAAAACAATTTAATAATAAAATAAATACACCATCAAAAGTCTTGGAGTAGCGTGACAAACCAAGATAAGCACAAAGAGAGATTGAGTAAATCACCATGATACAAATGTTGTTGAGTTTCTTTGGAATCCACTGATGTTGAATAGCTTTTCTGTATGGTTTGGACACTAAATAATAGATATAATTGGATACTTCCAGAAAGGTTAATTTACTTCCTAATAAGTATAAATAATGGCATCTGTCAATTATTGGCTTCAGACCTTGAGGTTTGTATCATAAAAAACAATGTAATAATTAATAGTTTAAAAAAATGATAGACCCAAACAAATTATTGAAATAGAGTAACAACTCAGGGTTATTACATTGAGAGATTAAGGTAACCTACATAGAGATATGTAAAATGGGGATTTCTCTACATGTATGCATCACCAAATGGCAGGTATTATGCAGTTCTGTAAAGTGACTTGCCAGATAGATACATACATACACGCACACACACACACACACAGAAACATAAACAAAATACAATGAGCTTATTTAAGGATGGTCTTATCGTTTCTGTTAACATTGTTTAATTGTTTGTCATATTATAAAAAAAAAAATTACGTTTCTGCCAAACATGTCAGTGCTATATAAAAAAAAAATAATACAAAGTGCAAATACTAAAAAACCAACACCCTATAGGTTTATTCTTTGTTCTTCTTCAGGGTTGCGTAGCAATAGACTGCTAAAAAAAATAGTAAATCTTGCTTGAATGCTTGTTTTAATGCTCCAGGTAACCTACCACTAGATTTCGAAAAGTTTCTCAAAGGAAATAAAAAAAAATTGTATTGTCCCTTTTAAGAATTTCAAAACTTTGTCAAGGTATCAGTCGTGAATTTGATCTGTACCTGTAATTTGGCTATCGATTTATTTTGTATGAAAGAGCTGATGCTTGTTGTGTACGTAATAGTAAAAAAAGTATAAACAGGTTTATTTTATCTATACCAAAATACGTTGTAGAGCATTAACTGATGACAGTAAGAGTTGTTCGGAATGTGTTCATAGTTTTGATGGGAACTCAAATTGACAAAAAAAAACAAAACTAAACAAAAGTCCCATAAAAGTATCATCGACTGCAAAGAAAGGCATCTTTCTCCAAGTGACTAATTTTAGTTTCTACAGCAGGTTGTAGAAAGGCAGTCTGAGTCAGGACAACAGGCGTTTTGGCTCACCCCTTGCCTGAAGTGCACAGACCATTAAACACCCTAATTAGTCAATGACTGAGCCATGTAACTGAGAGCTTCTTCGCAGCAATTAGAGGAAAGGAGAGAGGACCATGCTCCCCTACTGAGTCAGGGAGACATGGACTGAACATTTTCATACACTGCTCAACAGAAGCTAACGGGATGATGCTCTGCAGAGCTGCCAGAGTGCCAAATAAATCAAGCAAAAACTTAGGATTGGAAACCAAGATGAGAAAGAAACAGGATTTATTTGTATATATCAGAGGATCATAAAGAGTTACATCAACCAAACTACTGCGCAGACTGAGCGACACGCAGTTCACACACATGAACAAGGAGAGAGGCACCTGGACACCCATCGGCAGAGCCTCATTGCAACAACATACGCACACGCATTGTTGTGGACATACAGATCCCCACACATTGGCAGAGATCACTGTACACACCGTATCACACTTGCAGGACAGGACTGCACACGCTCAGACGACTTTATTATGCACTGCTACCACACACAAAGGTCTCTGTGCACAAACAGCATCTTCAGGTGTCTCTAAGCAAACATTGAAACCATTCTTGCTGGCATCACAGAGCACTGGCAGATATCACTATGCATACCCTAAATCAGTCTTTCACATTATTCAACAAGGAACATACTTACAGAATCACACACGCACAATCACACTAGCAGAAGGTTGCAAGTTTAATTTGTAGAATGTTAGCACATAACCACAAATCTCACACAGTCCATAATAACTGCACGCAAACATGCACACGCAGTCCATAAAAAACGCAGATCTCTCTCATCACAGAAGGAGAAACTTATTTTAGTAACACACTACAATGGGATACAAAACAAATTCACATAGACCAGCATCTACCCATACTTTCACACTCATACAGAGACAGAGAATGAACACTTAACACAAACAGAATGAATGCAAACTGGAAAGTTAATGGGATATGTGAACAGTGACGTGTTTTCTCTGAATTTTGCACAAGCCATAGTCTATAGGCTGCCTTAGCTAATAACGCCATACTAGCCACAATGCATTGTATCTATTACTACTACAGGAGACATGTGGAGACCCAATGCCAAAAATTAGTCAGTACGGGTCTATAGTAGGCTTATCCTCAACTATTAATTGCAGCCACTTCACCGCTATTTTAAAAGGATTTTTATTATCCTAACTTCAAATGTTTAGCTAATACACAATCTATTTATATATTCTTACATATATAAATCACACATGGTCTAGACCCAGCCATCCAAGCACCACACTCTGTGAAATCATGATGTGAATAACCACCCACCAGCAAAATAATCTTTGTGTAAGTGAGAAAGTATTAACAGAATATTGAGTCAAGAACAAGTTGAGAACCACCCGAATTTCTGTAAGACCTTTAATGTTATTACATTACCAGTATGGTGGTTTTAAAATAAGAATAGGGTAATATACAGGAGTACGTCTATTGATCTATTAAATAACTGTAATGGTTATATACATTTAATATTAAATGTGGTTCCTGACGTCTCAGTCTAAATAATAAAGTTAAGTAGTAATTACTCACCTCATTTCCAGCTCTCCTCCGCTGTCTCCAGGTCCATCCCCGGTGATGTCAGAATCCAAGCTGTCATCACCTGCAATCTCTTCCATTCCACTGCTTCTCAAGCACCATGCTCCTTCAATCAAATGCTGCTATTAGCATTGATCATCATTTGATTCCAAGACCAGATTTTACTAGGTCTGGAATAGGAAGCATCTCCTGTGCATGTCAGGAGACAGCCACCATTGGTGTATTTAACCCTCTAAAATAAAACTGCAGTGTATTACATTGCAGGAGTACAATGACCGGCTCACTGCACCAAGACCACTTCATTAATATAAAATGGTACAGCTGACTAAGTGTTACTTTCTAATACATTTGATCGATTTTGGCATCAAGTTTTTCTTGTAGTTTTTACCCCAAAACAATTTAATTAAATTTTTTAAAAATTGCAGCATTCTTTTGAAATCTAAAAGATTTAATCCTTATATGTATACATACACAGCTCACACTGCATAGGAAAGCTGATTCAGGCCAATCATACCTCTCCAAGGAGAGGAAATGTATGGAACACACAGAGGAAGGGGAGCTTATTGTTACTGATGTTTGTCCTGCTCATAGTGACTATGCTCCCGGTACATCGGTGCTTCTCAAACCACCAGTGGTGAAGTATTTAAGAAATATCCAATAGTCTTCAAATGGAGATATCAACCCCATTAACCACCGATTAGCCAGGTTTGAAAAACACTGCTTTAGGTCATAAGAGTAACAAGAATCGCACAAAAACAGCAGCATACTGCGCTAAAACCAATAACCTTTGGGCAAGGAATTCTATTACTAGTGGTAGAATTAGCTCAGTTATATCATGTGATTCCCTGCTATTGGTTGAAGCTAAGGTGACAATTTTTTTCTTTCTTAACGTACAGTACCCTTCTTTGGTTGTAATCTGTGATGTTATTTCTTTTCGTAAGAACTTTCACTAGTGGTCTGAGAATCCAATAGTGTCATGGCATAGAAGGAAATGTCCTAACGCCACTAAAAGGTTGAATTCTTCTTTTTTTTTTTTTTTTTAAACAAGTTGTATGCACTATAATAAAATTGGAAAAAATATATATCACACAATAGTATAAACCTATAAAAAAAATACAAAAAAATATGATGCAGAATGAAATGAAAGCCCTCGGCCCTTCGTATAGAACAGTATATGCACAAACACTCTGGACATTTTCCTAATAGTGTTATCCAGTTGTCAAAGAAATAATAAATATATAGGCAACTATATAGTGCAATATTTAAGAGGTCACGCATATTTTACATAATGATGAAAGAATAAAAACCTATGTACTTGCATTGTGCTATGGTGGGCATACAAACCGAATTACTGGAAATAAGCTCACAATTAAATCACATTATAATTCATTTAAAAAAAATTGGAGTCTTCAATGCCGGCTGGCACATAATTGTCCAGTCCATGCGGACATCTCCAGTAGAAACACATACTGGCCTCATTCCATGAGATGTTTCAGCTGGTACTGTGACATTTTTGGAGATCACCCAATAACGTCATGGCGCACAAGATGCTTTTTGACGTCATTCTGCCCTTCCTTCCGCCACTCAGTAAAATCAGAATTGAGGTAGTTGAGGTAGAGCAGAATTTCTTATACTGATCATAGTTAGCCCCTCCTCTTAAATATTAACCTTAAATGTTTCAATTTACAACAATCCGATAAAATTGCACTGCTTGTAGCCTTTAATGCACATTAGAATAATTCTTATAAAAATTCTATGTGGTAATAGATTATCGTGCCGAACAAACAAAATGTACAATTCATTTTACACTATGAATTAACATATTACTTTATACGTTGGTTTTTCTTTATGAGTAAGGTTAATGTATAATGTAATATTTTATGAAATGTAAGTTTATAACAATGATCTATGTACACATGGTATTTTTGAATATGCATGAAAGGCAATACACAATGCTATTTTAAAGGATTGTTAGTAATGGAACTGTAAGGGTTAACGTTTAAGAGGACTGGGCAACTTTGATGAAACAGAGAAATTCTGCCAATTTTTTGCTCGATTCTAGTTTGAGAAGAGTGTGTTGAAATGTTTATCAAATGTTGAAATGAGTAGTGTGGGTCCTGAAACCATCACACATTCTCTTCAAATATATACAAACACCTGTGGAAGCACCTCATAGAATGAAGAAACCCAGGTTGTGTTTCTGCTGGCAATCTCCACAAGGATTGAGGCAGTTATTTACCAAGTGATTGTGGCAGGTATTTGTATTCATTATAATAAGCTTTACTTGTGGGGTGTTAACAATAATTTTGATTGGATGTTATCTAAGCATAATGTGAGTGCATGATTGTTCATTCCTATTTACTCTAAGTCTGGTGTCATTAAAATACTGTGCTGTATCGTTCTCTAAATATTATATCTCTGATAGCTAGAGAAGACTACTTGGAAAAATTCAGGAATTGTCTATGATTATACTGCTCTATACTAAACATCCTATGGAACTTAAACTGTACCATAATTATTTTTATATATTTTATAGGTGACTATTTTATTTGTTTGTAAAATGATAATGTGCAACACTTATTTTTAACAATGACCTTGATGTCTTGTGTATTAGGATGTGAGGATACAGTGTGTGTTGCACTTTTTTGTGGCAAAAGTATATCACTTAGAAAATCAGAGTGGAATTTCAGCAAGCATATCTTTAGCATTCAGATGCTAAAGTCTATTTACTAATAGATGATTTGTGAGCTTGAAGGGACACTATAGTCACCAAAGCAACTTTAGCTTAACAAAGCAGTTTTGGTGTATAGGTTATGCCCCTGCAGTTTCACTGTTCAATTATCGGCCATTGAGGAGTTAAATCACTTTGTTTATGCAGCTCTAGCCACACCTCCCTGCATGTGATTTACACAAGCCTCTGAAACACTTCCTGTAAAGAGTCCTTTAATGTTTACACTTCCTTTACTACAAATTCTGTTTAATTAAGAATGTCTTATCTCCTGCACTGTTAACAGCTCGCTAGAACCTTCATGATCCTCCTGTATGTAAATAAAGTTCAATTTACAGAGCAGGAGATAAAAACTTTTAAACTAAGTTACATCTGATGGAAAATGAAACCATTCTTTGTGTCAGTCACAGCCAGGGGAGGTGTGGCTAGGACTGCATAAACAGAAACAAAAGTGATATAACTCCTAAATGGCAGTGAAACTTCAGAAGCAGAATCTATACAAAGCTGCTTCATTAAGCTAACATTGTTTTGGTGACTATAGTGTACTTTTAAGAGATAGCTCTGCTAGTTAATAGACCAATCATGTACACTGTTAATACTCTGCTAGCCACTCATATTATGAGGGCAATAGAAAATCAGTACTCTTGTATTGGGTATTAAGAACATTTATATCCCATGGCATATTTGGCAATAAAAGTAAATCTTCACATATAATACATGCTAAAACAGATTCTTATGAATCATATGGGGTGGTGTAACTTGTGCATCTGTGATCAGCACGAGATCAAGACATCAGTGTCTTGACCAGTATACAGCTTCACAATCAGACAGACATTCTCTCTCTCTGGTTTTACCGTAGAGGCTCATTGCTTGGCCAAAGTTAAAGGCTCTCCATTCCCGACCCTATATATATATAACCTGCTTGCAATGCTGAATGGATGTTATTGATACAAGAGATATTATTTTCTAGCGATTTTGAAATCAGGTTTTAGAATTGGAAATCTTCTCACCAATAGGACTTTGTATCCTTCAAAGACAAAATAAATAAATAAAATAAAATAAAAAAAGAGCTGTAAACCTATGAACAATGCACACAGCATGCATTCATTGCTACAGCTATTAAATGAATGATGTATATACGTTAATAAAATAACATTTAACTTTCGCAATACTGAAGAAGGAAATTTATTGCTGTCTTTTTATTAATGTGCAAAATGTATTTTGACATTTAGTGCTGTCTTTTTATTAATGTGCAAAATAGACGGGTTTGTTTTTTTCATAAAGTTCTAAGAAGCAAATCTCTGGGTGAAAAAAATAACCATTTAAATACCAGATATGAAAGTAATGCATTTTGCTTTAACTTGTTCTGTTTTGTTTTTTTTGCTGCACGGTAGTCAATGGTTTTTGTTTTAAACATTGGGGTGGATTACAAATATAGAAGGCTCTGCTTAAAATTAAAAAATATATATTAAGGATAGGGCATGGGTAGATTCGGGAATGATCATATTATCTGCAAAACGGAAAGAAATGGGTGGGTGTACTTGGTGATAACATTCCCGTTTACTACCCGCAGCTCTTTTACAGACATGGGGATTTTGAATAAAAAGGCTAGCTGGGCATTATAGGAAATGTAGTTCAAAGCCAGGTGAAGTGCCCAGATAAGCCATCACTGCACTAGGAATAGGTCTACACAACTTTTGTGCTGACTGTGTGCCCAGGTGTTGAATCTATGTACAAGCCTACATCTTTTAAATAGTTCTATGTTTAGAACACCTTGCTCCCATTTCTATAAACAGTAAACATTAATCTAGGGCATAGAACTGGGCTGGGCACCCACAGCATGTTAACATCCATCACCTATGGGCAGAACAAAAATTATTGGAGTTGGGGGTCCTACAGCTGGACATGACATTTAACACTGTCTGGCATTAGGAGCAGGAAAACCTCAAGCTACACTAAATAAAGTGGTTTAAAAAAAAACAAAAAAAAAACAACAACAACATAAAAATACACAAACACACACGCTCGGGCCTGCTAAGGCAAATCCTTTAGACATATAAGGCTGGTTTATAGTACTGTAACATGTATCAGATTCATCAACTCAGCAAGTGTATTAGAACTGAGCACATATATAACCACTCCTGCTACACATTCATATAATCCAATGTAATGGTAACACACAGCTACCATGTATACACACACTCATAAAATCCTAGTCAAAATACACATACAGCGGTGTATACATTCACAAAATATTTTAGGCCATGTACGCACAGATAGCCTGCAAATCAATCATACATAAAGAGCTACACTGCATTAACATTCATACAATCCAACGTACACACAGAGCTACATTAAAAAACACATTCATGGAATCCAGCACAGTATACATACAAAACTATCATGCACATACATTCACACGATCCAATGTAACATTCACAAAGCTAACCTACATATACATTCATCCAACACAACATTCACACAAAGCTACCCTGCATATACCGTTAAGCAAAACTACAGAATGTGCCGTGGCTACCTTGACACAACCTAATTTTCTGAGACAGAATGACAACACTGTCCACTGGACTGATTCCCTTTCGGGCGATACATATTTTTGTTGCACCAGATTTATAACTGTCTGTTTTAATACTTAGTTAAACATTGGACAGCTACAAGATACAAGCACGGATTAAAATAAAAAGAGATATTTTTATTTTATAATAACATATCCACATACTTTGTGCAGATGAGGAAAAAAAATACTTGACAAGGGATAGATTTCTGGCTCAACCCTATGACCTAAGCTAATTGATTACACCTATATACCCAATCCACAATTGATCTCCACCCTACCTCGCCCCTCCAGTGGATTTACCACAGTATCAGTCCAAATTATCAGGGTGGCAGATGGCAATGCGATTTTCACTATGTTCTATACTAGTTTAAAAATATTAAAGCCTTTACAAAGATTTCTTAAGCTATGTCACACTGTAGATCCTTGGCTGTACAGAGTGAAATCTGTATAGAATAGTATTATAAGTAGCGTGTTATTAGTGCCAACAGGTCTTGGTAAGGAATCTCTTGATTTATTCAAGGTTAGTTTGAGCTCAAATCCAGTGTGGACTAAGGAGGTAACACATTGCAAATCAGCATCCTGCGCATCTTCCAGGCACCCATAATGTTAAGATGTCATCCAAACATTGTTAATAAAGTGCAATATTTCAAAACAAGCATACATATGTTTTTTTCCTAATACAACCAAACTTACAGCATACACGCATACACAAAGCACTCGTACATACAACCGCAACTCAAATCTTATGTCTAATCAGCATTTTGCGCTCTACGTATGTGCCATACCGACATTCCCACTGCACTGCAGAAAAACTGCACCTACACATTTGTGTGAAAATACACAAAGACTATCAAATAAACACCCCATGCATGCCACCACATGCACAGAGATAGAGCATATACCTGCCTGGTATTTTTTATCTGTTGAACTGCTCACATCATCCTCTGGTGTCTCCCGGGGACTGTCTAAGGATGATGGAAGTTGTAGTTCTATATTAATCATCAATGAAAACTTGGACCCTTCTGATATACACAGTGAATCTGCACAGACACGTGATGCGCACACTCTGAGGTTACAAACACATAATAAATACATGGAAAATGAAGCACTGAGCATGCGTTGCATGCACAGAGACACACACGTTGCCTCCAGAGGAAACTACCTTGTAACTCACTGCATATTCAGTCTCTCTAAATGCACAGTCCACATCTGCACGCAGATACACACACTCCTCCCACACACAAAAAACATCCTGCCTTAACAAAGAAAACATACTATGTCTGCAGATACATTCATTCACACACAATCACACCCACACACTGACACACAGACAACTACCCTGTCCCCCGTCCCATAATTTGCCCCACTCCCTTATCCGCCCGCAGCCCCTCACTTATCGCTTTGGAGGGTGCTGCTGCTGCTGCTGCCGCTGGGCTCTGGACAGCACTCTAAGGTGCCGAGTGCTCAGGAAGTAGATTCGAGCGATGAAGCGCAGAGGCGCCCTTGGGGGCTGCTGTTGCTGTTGAGCATTAGGGCGGCCCAGTGGAGGGAGGCAGCCAGGGGACTGGGCAGATGGACCCTGAAATGGTGATAGCACCTCCGCTGGGATCAGCAATGCAGGAGTCATACCGCATGGCAGTGGAGGCAGACGAAACACAGCTGGGGGCATCTGTGAAGGGGCAGCAGGGGAAGGAATGGACTGAGCACAGGCCTGATCTCTGGGATTGTGGGGCTTTTCCTTGGGGTTGGAAGGCAGTTTTCTTTCAGGGGGCAGTTTGCTGGTTTGGATGGGCAGTTCTCGGGGTCGAGAAGGCTGTTGCCCCCCAGGGGCTACATCGCGAGGCTTCACTTGAGGATCCCGGTTGGGGGGCAATTTGGTGGCTTGAGGAGGGGGCAAGGCCTGCTTGGGGGTCAGTTTTCTGGACTGTGGGGGAAGTTCCTGAAGCTTTGGGGGCAGGTTCTGGTCAGAGGGTAATTTGGTGGGTTGAGGGGGCAATTCCCGGTCAGGAGGCAGTTCTTGGGTTTGGGGGGATGTGTCCTGGTCAAGAGTCTCTCCCAGAAGCTCAAGCAGCTTCTCATTCTGGATCCTGCGTATGTGACACTGAGCCCGTAGCAAGTGGTAAGAATCCAGAAAAACAAGAAGAGGGAGGGAACCCTCGAGGAACAGCTGAGATAGGGCCTGAAGAGAGGCAGGGTGAAATTCCAGAATTAGAGAAGGAAATTGAGACAGTGTAAAAAAGAATAAAAGTAATAAACAAAACAAACATCACATAAGACAGCAAATATAACAAGAAAAAACGAAAAGAAAGATGTTAGTTAAAATGCAAAATACAATGAAATATACATGTATATTTACACAAGGAAAATGTTAATTGCAGAGTTAGAATAAAGTATTTTTTTCGGCACTGGTGCTCAAAAAGACAGGAGTGTGTGACAAGTCCTTTAAGAAAAGGATTAATAAGGTAAGGTAGAGTTTGAATGGTAATCGTTGAGTTAATATTCTATTCTGATAGCTAATATTTAGATGTGTATTAAAAATATTTTAAAAATCAGTTTATTGAATCCTCATTAAAAGGATACTCTAGGTCACAAAACAACTTTAGAATAAAGAAGCAGTTTTAGTGTATAGATCATATAATTGCAGTCTCACTGATCAATTTAGGAATTAGGTCAGTTGGGTTTCTGTTTATGCAGCCCTAGCCACACCTCCTCTGGCTGTGACTGACACAAAGTTTTTATCTCCAGCTTTGAAAATCGAACTTTAATTACACATAGGAGGCTCCTGTAGGATCTAGCAAGCTATTAACAGCAGAGGAGATAAGACATGTTAAATTAAACAGAATTTGCAATCACGGTAGTTTAAACATTAACTGACTCTTTACAGGAAGTGTTTAGGAAGGCTGTGCAAGTCACATGCAGGGAGGTGTAACTAGGATTAACTCCCAAATGAGAATTGAGCAGTGAGACTGCAGGGGCATAAGCTATACACCAAAACTGCTTCATTATGCAAAAAGTTTTTTTTTGGTGACCATAGTATCCCTTTAACTGAAAGGCTAGCTTGGCACAGCCAGGCATTTGATGCGAATCATTAAAGTCTGAGGATTCCTAGAATCTCATGCACCCTTATGGAGCTATTAACTAAGATGAGTATTGTCTGGCATTAAATGTGAACTTAAAATTTAAGGTCAAAATAGATGGATTGAAACAATTACCCAAGTCAGCTACGGTTTCAGCACAGCTACATAGGACTTAAATTTAAAATTCCCTTTAAATTTCAACAATTCTCACTTTAGTGAATAGCCCTATTAGAAATTTATGGGAGGATTATAGAGGGCATGGATGGCATGAGGAGAAGATATCTGCATGACATATAATGGGAAGATGGCCTACATGTTTGAATCATGCAGCAACCACGTGTTTCAACTTACCGCACACATTTACTGCGACATGTTAAAATGGAACAGTCTCTGGCCAGCTATAAACTTGCAAGAGTATTTCCATTCATTGTTCTTCAATGAATGAAACCCTTATGATAGATTCATGTGCACAGTTTCTGTAAATCTTTCAAAGCACATCTATGACAGCCCTGCATGTATCCCTTAAACTCTTGAAAAAGGTAATTAGAGGTTTTGTATAGTGGCACTTTTTTTTTTTTTTTTTTTTTAATTAAAGCAACTAATTGTAATCACTTATCTTTGGAATTATTGAATTATGAGACAATGAAAAGGAGCGAAGGTGAAAGTTTTTGTAAAAAAAAAAAAAAAATTTCTTGCATGTTTATTTTTTTTAGCTCAATGCTTATTTATTCACGTACCTTAAGTGCAGATATAAATCGCATTATATAAGACTTGGCATCAAGGAATTTTGTTATGACAAACACAACAGATTCCCACCTTGCAAATGTTATCTTTAGATTGTGTTGGTCAAACCATTAAAGAGACACTCTGCACACCTAATGCACTTTAGTTTGGTTAGAATTACCAATCCACAGAGTGTTACAGAAGCCTTCAGATTTTCAAAGAATTACCTAGTGAGGTTATAAGAGAGTACACTCTGTACTTTTCTCTGTTAACTCCAAAAGCCAAAATCAGCATTGTCCTGTTAGCGTCTAGATTGTTGGCAACTACGCTTTAATCTATACATGTACTGGTGATTTCACTAGGAGTGTGTATAAATTACATGAATATTTACCTGGAGTTTGGTCTGTCACAGACATTTTATGACAATGATAGTTTAGCTGTAACGTATTCTACCATTTATTGAGCTTTATTGACTTTAGGGTGGAGGTTTCGGTTTAAAGGAACAACCTAAACTATGTTAACTTGTTATAGTGTCTACAGTAGTTCCCTCTGAGTACCAGGCTCAAAAAGGCAATATTTTAATAATTAGAAGACTTGGAAGCACAGCTTCAAGCCTCGCATCTAAGCCTTAAGGATAGCTGGCACTGTTACTTCCTGGCTTTCATAATCTCACACACCATGACGTTAAACGTGCATGCGCAGTGTCTTCACAGTCAATCATAAAATTCACTGCATGCAATAATTCTCTATGGCAGAATTATAGGGGAATAGTGGAAACCGCCGTGCATGCGTCTATGGTCCTTGATAATCCTATATGAGGAACATTGGATTGGTCCGTCATACTGAAGGCACGCCTCCAGGATGGCATAATTCTAGGAGAAGACCATGGGAGCGCCGCAGGAGACTCAACACTGTAGAGAAGGGAACAATTTTTTTTGGGGGGGGGAAGGGGGTGTTTTGTTTCCTTTTAGTTAGTTTAAGTGCACAGAGGGGGTGAGCCAGAAATTAACTAGGGACATTAAGACTATAGCATTAGGAATACAGATATGTATTTGTAACACTACAGTGTACCTTTAAAGGTCAAATTCTATTACCAGAGATCAACTTAAATCTGGTAAATAAATATCAGTTTTCCCATTGATGTCTATCTGAACACAATTACAAGAGATATGCTGATCTCTTATATAAGAACCTAGCTGTTAGTTCCAAGTTCATTTGGAGAGATTTACACAGTAATAAAACCTTTGATTCATAATTCTGCAAAACATACGGACACTGACCTCACATTCTGCCTCGGTGCTCTGCAGCTCCTCCTGCAGGTGGCTGAGTGCAACGTGTGGGTTACATTCCTGCAAGAGGCACTCTGAAAAAGAATGATAAAGTGATCACTGGGTTAGTTTATAGAAAACCAAACTAAAGACTGTGCTTTCAGAGTGACTATAAATTACTCGGTTACTCCGATTATGCGGAGCATCTAAGATGAGTATTAAAGGAACACTGTCATTATTTTTAACATCTTGATAAAATCTTTGTTATAATATGCCATCTCAACTGAAGATTGAAGAAATTCCTTGTATATCTTCGTGCACCTTCGATCTGGCAATTGTAACTATGTAATTGCAAAATAATGAGTATTAGGTCGGATAACTGGCAATATGATTTCTGCACACGAATAAGTAAATATTTTTTCAAAGATTAAGATATTTAAAATAACAATAAATTTCCCTTTTAGTATGAAAAAGTGAAAAATACAAGAAAAATATTAGAACCCATATGTACAAAGAGAAGATCTAGTAGTTTTAAGGAAAAAAGTAAACTATCATAAGTGGTTCGAAAAAGTTAATTTACATACAAAATGCACAAAGGCTTACAATACATATACAGTGCCCTCCGCGAATATTGGCACCCTTGGTAAATACGAGCAAAGAAGGCTGTGATAAATTGTCTTTATTGTTTAAACTTTTGATCTTTTGTTCAAAAACTACTCTGCTCTCATCAAACAATTGCGAACACAACACAGGTTTATAAAATATAATGATAAATAAATATATTTGACGTATATCCCCACTGTTATTTTAAATATTTTAGTACACCTGGGTTTCTAGGAACAGGAAATTGCTCAATCAAGACTTCTTGTTTTCCAAATTCCATTAGTCAGTCATTCATTACAATGGGTTATGCCAAGGAATATAGCGGTGATGTGCAGCAAAATGTTATTTAGCTTCACAATATGGGAAGTAGCTAAAGGAAAACAGCAAAAGCATTGGGAATGCTCATTTCTACCATCAGGGCAATAATTAAGACATTTATAGTGTACTGGAAATGTTATGAGTCAACCTGGAAGAGGACGTGTGTTTATGTTTTCTCGTGCTCCTTGAAAAAAAATGGTTTATGTGGGCAAAAATCTCCAAGGGTCACAGCTGGAGAACTGCAGAAGTTAGAACATCTCCAAAACTACAATCTGACGTCGCCACCAGTTGGTCGGAAGGGTTTCTAGAAAAACAAATACAAGCATCTTTGGCTTGCCAGACACTACTGGAACTGCAAAGGGGATTGGGTTCTATAATCTGAAAAAAAAAAAAACAGAGCTTTTTGGCAATAAACACTAGAGGTACCTCATGCCAACAGTTAAATATGGTAGTGGCTCTTTAATGTTTTTCTGCCAGAGAACCTGAACATCTTGTTAGGATACATGGTATCATGGACTCTATCAAACTGCCTCTGCCAAAAAGCTTAAAATGGGCCATGGTTGGATATTCCAGCAGTACAATCATCCAAAATGTACCTCAAAAGCAACACACAATCAAAGTCCTGCCATGGCCATGGCCATCCCAGTCCGTGATTGGAATTTTATAGAAAACCTTTGGAGTGAACTGAAGAGGAATGTTCACCCGTGTCAACATAAACATTTGAACAATCTGGAGAGATTATGTATGCCATGAGGCCACTTCACTTGCCATGAGGCCTCTCTCCACTGCAAAGATCCATGTTTAAAACGGACAATTTTAACTAAATGCTAGCTGTGAATTGTGCTGTTAAGTTTCTATTATAACAAAAACAGAGAATATGAGAACTGTGACAAAAACTCAGAGAAACTCTACAACTTGCCATTTGGTACATCCCCGCTCAGGTCTCAAAATAGTTCTTGTTTACTTGTGCGATTACAGAAAGAAACTATTCCAAGGCATATCCGAATGATCCGACCCATAAGGGCAGTCCAGAACAGAAATGCCGTAAGTTCTCTCTGCACAAGAGATACAGCAACACCGGATTATCGTTTGCGGCCTTCTTTTGGCCTTGTCAGTGAGATTTAGCTGATATCCAGGTTTATACCTCTAGGCACAGTGAGCACGGGGTCCACGTTTAGATTATCCTTTAATTTGGGGAGAGCCAAGTGAATACATTTCAACAAAAACAGAGAATATGGGAAATCTGAGAACGGACAAAAGCTTAGGGAAACTCAATAGCTTGCTCTTCGGTACCAATGTGTCTAGAGTGTGGCAGAGATCCATGGTTTAAAAGGAACAATCTCAACTAAATGCTAGCAGTGAATTGTGCTAAGTTTCTATTATAATTATGTCTTAATTTACATGCCCAGCTGTAATTTAAATTAAACTGTGCAGTACCATGTGTATTGATGAAGGAATACCCAAGTGTACTATATTTCTTCGTAAATGTCCATCATGAGATAATTAAGTTGCATCCCAGTAAAGACAGTAATTGTGTTGGTCACTTCTGCTTTAAATTTAAGGCTTGCTGGTTCAGAAGTATATACAAATAGAGGTTATAAAAATGACCAAGAACCATGAGAACAGAAAAGTAATCCAGACATACTGACAAAGACATTTAAAATCATAAAATCAGTGATTATATTTTGATGTGATTTGTTTCAATCAATGGCTCTTGGAGATCTCTACCTAATTTGGAGGTGAAAGTCTAAATTATTTTATTTAAATTCTGAGACTATGTTAATAAGTCAACCCAATTCAAATTGCTTCCTAACATCCTTAAGGATGAGATCATGAGTACTGCTATTGTGATCACCAGATGATTGTTTTTATTTGCCTCTGGATGATATTGGCTACCTTTAATAGTATAATATTCAATGTTTTTTTTTTATTTTACATCAGGTGATGTCAGTGATAAACTTTGCAAAGGTAATATTGAATAAATATAAGCCAAAATAAAATAAATAAAAATCACACATCGTATGTTATGCTGGAGTGTTCTAATTTGGGGAAGATTGTTTTTGTTTTGCTAAACTTAAAATTTTATATATTTTTAAATGTGTACATTTTTGCCAGTTTTTGGTTTTTGTTTCATTTCCTTTTCCTCTTGTCAAATGGAGTGCTGTGGGTTTTTTTCTCCTTGTTAAAAAGTCTACATCAGCTCTCATTATCCACATTAAAGGAGCCATTGTTCCCCTCACAAATAATCCTGAATTCCCAGACGTCGAGACTTTGGGCCACTTGAGTTCAGAGACAAAAGAGGCCACTTGCATGTACATTTAGTAAGAGCTTCAGCGGGACTCCTACCATTGTCAGAATTGAATGTCGGTAGGCAACCAACATCCGAAGAAAACTACCAGCACTTTTACATATCCCCATACACCAGATGACTTATTCACTTTAAGCAATTTTGTATGCAGGGTGAACAACTGTGTAGGGGTATTTTGCACCACTCTGTAAATGTATGTACCAACTAAGTCATGAGTTGGGAACCCGGGGAAAAAAGAGAGTTGAATCCCACCTAGAATGTAGCTTTTAATATTATGTATGTCACAGTTTTAGAAATACAAGAAAAACACTACATATGTTAAAAGAGTTGGTTATCCCATTCTAGTAATACGATTCCCAAGTGATAATACACTGTGCAATTTTGCCTGTAGAAAACTGCAGAAATGTATATGCTCCCTTAATTGGGCTGGGATTACAATAGGCAGCCCCAACATAATTTATTTGGTTCCTAAGCACATGCTCTAGGTTTTATCTTCAGGGGTAGACAATGATCTAAAATAAAGGACTTTGTTCCATAAAAAGCTCCAGGAAACTCACTGCATGATACTAATTTACTACTATAGTACACTTCACAGGTCGTATTTAGGATTTTGCACAGTGCTCAGAGGATTGTCAGATATGCCAGGAAGTGGCTGAATATCTGGTGGGATTTGTGGAATGTTAGTTGCTTAATTGCAAAATGTGAAATATAGACCATTGGTGGAATTCCTGGAAATCATAAGGATGGAAAAGCAATGAAATGTACAAAAATGTTAGTATATATTTTTACTTTTTTTTTTTATAGTGTACAACCTGATATGCTGTTCGACCCATATAAAAACACGAACGTGAATTGCTACTGTCATGAAAATAAGTGTGAGGTCCCACTCGAACTGAAGGTGATCCAATTTCCCAGGTAGGCAGCATACTTGGCATCTTCAAAGAGCATAATGTGAATAAGCCATCATAACATATAGGCCACTGCCTATTGTCACGTTCTGTTCCTCGCTGCGGATCATTCTGGCAATGGCTTCTGGTATCCAGTACTCTTTTTGCTATCCTTGCTTGGTTTTTCAGGTTTTCTGGTCTATGTCTGGTTTTCTTTGTTGCTGGGTTTCTGAGTTCATTCTTATATTCTGTCCCTGGATTTCCCAGTCTCTTGGATTCACTTAAAGGACCACTCTAGGCACCCAGACCACTTCAGCTTAATGAAGTGGTCTGGGTGCCAAGTCCAGCTAGGGTTAACCCATTTTTTTATAAACATAGCAGTTTCAGAGAAACTGCTATGTTTATAAATAGGTTAATCCAGCCCTCAAATCCTCTAGTGGCTGTCTCATTGACACCGCTAGAGGCGTTGCGTGATTCTCACTGTGAAAAATCACAGTGAGAACACGCAAGCGTCCATAGGAAAGCATTGTAAATGCTTTCCTATGAGATCGGCTGAATGCGCGCGCAGCTCTTGCCGCGCGTGCGCATTCAGCCGAAAGGGAGGAGAGGAGGAGGATCGGAGGCGGAGAGCTCCCCGTCCGGCGCTGGAGAAAAGGTCAGTTTTAACCCTTTCCTCTCCCCAGAGCCGGGCGGGAGGGGGATATCATTGCTCTCCTAGTCTTGCCTTGCTTCAGTACTGGATACATCCTTGCTGCAGAGCCTCCCTATTCAGCTCCTGGGAGGTCTGCTTAATTATCTGCTCCTAGTTCCTGGAAACCGCATAAACTGAATCAGGGTTCTGGTATGTGGCTGCACAAACGCTGGTGCTCAACACCAAGGGGCGTGCGGTTGCCCTGCACCAGACCCTGCTAATCCACCTCCACACTGTGACTCCTACTCTGAATATCAGGCATATTGGGTCCCGGTCCTCGCACCGCCGCCCGGAGAGTGTCTGGGTCCCGGGCACCGGACCGCCATCCGTGACACCTATAATGCGAGTCTGCTTCAAGATACAGATCAACAGTTATCTAAGGTGAACAAAGCACATCAACACAGCCCATCACAAGGGCAATGTATTAAGATACAAATAAAGCCAACAGTCAGCAGGTAATATAAATTAAAGCGTCACTCTAAGCACTATAGCAACACTGCATAATTTCAAAGTTATTGAAAGGTGGGAAGGAACACTAATAAAATGTCATAAAAGAGCGCTAATCACCCTGCCATGGCTCCTTGTTCCCTCTCCCTGACAACCGCAGTATAAGCTCCATGAATACTAGCCACCCGAACATTGTAAACTGCTGGATAAGCTCTCCGGTAATTCATTGCTACCTCAGGATGGCTGCGTGGAACGGTTTCTTGGACTGACTCTCAATCGCGGCCAGTCAAAACATATATATCGGGCAGCATTTCTGCTTCGAACCCCAGATCAGGGCGTTATTTTGCCACATTGAGCGCTCGGGTACAAGCTATAAGGGGATATCAAATGTGTGGGGATTCCTAATGGTTTTCTTTGTGTTTTTAAAAAACAACAAAAAAATTTTATGTCAGCTGCCTATGTGTCTGGCAGCTGTTTAATCATATCACCTCCCAGACCTGGAGACGCCTGGGTGGGTTTACTATTGGGTATAAATAGGTGTACCCATAATAAAGAATCCTTGTTTTTCACCCGTCATCAAGTCTTAACTAATGTTTGGGTGGATATGCTATAATCACTGAAGACTTTGTGAGATCAGGAGGGCTGTTTGGTAGAGATACTCAGCCAGAGTATCAGGGTTGTGCCACAAGTAGGTATCATAACTGCAGCAGTTAGGAATAATCACTCCAGCTGTAAGTCAGCTGTAAGTCAGCTCCTTTCTGCTTTGCCACTTTTATCCAACTTGTGCAAAAAGGTATACACACGGCGCATGCTTGAAGAGAGCATTAACTGCGTCCACTAACATAGTCAGTCAATGGCTGGGTAGATTGCTGCACAGAGCCTAGTTAAAGAAAACAGCCTCTCTAAACATTGTGATTCTACAGAAATGTTGATGGTGAGGACAATTTTTTCCTCTCTTTAACTATTTCGAAAGCATTATCTAAATAATACATTGAAATTGTGGGTCAATATTTGCCTAATGTTTCCAAGTAATCAAGGAAAGATTCCGAGAAATAATAGAAAAAGGTAATTTAGTAAACAATCTACAAATAGAATTGTAGAAAACAAACCAATGCCAAACGATATAATATGAATTTTAAAAAAGGTAACATATTAAATGGAGAGATACAGAATGACACTGGATAACAGGTAATAATGGATACAGATTGCTAAGGGATAACAAATTAAACACAGCCATCAGAAACATCAGGTCCACTCCATGTGAAAAGAGTGTTTGGAAAAAAAAAAAAAGAAATAAGTATAATAGTAATTTAGAAATAATTAGTTATACAAATAGAGATACATGAAACAAATTGGATAAACAATATACAAACATGGAGATAAAAAACACACAGAAAACAAATATTGCAAGATAGGGACCTGGAGGAAACACAGAGACAACAACAATATATATAGTTGAAGAGCACAGAAAATAACAGTTGTCAGAAGGACACAAAACACGGGTTAAAAATGAGTTAAGAAAGACCAAACGATGTAAAAAAGGAACACAAATATTTATATGAAGTACATTTCTGTGGCTACACACAAAGAGAGACACTCTAAAATAACCTGAGAAATAAGGAGGTTATAGACAGACACCACAAGGTACCCAAGTAAGACAATGATAAACAAAATAGTTTCAAGATAAAGACATATTGCAATGACGTTCAGACCAAAGGACAGGAGACGTACATGAAGAAAAACATGGAGGAACTTGGAGCAGCACATGAAAAAATAAAAATAAAAAAAACAGATATAAGTGTAGCGGAGCGGCAATATTAAATCCCACGATCTCCGCTGGTTCAGAAGGTAATACACAGTCAAGCGCTGAAAAGTAAGGCATTATCACAAATCTCCCAGTAACCGGACGAAACACAGTTCTGAGAGTCAACTGAGGCTCTATTCACAGGCTCCACAATTTATACAATTCCCCATGCAAGGGGTTTCCTGAGTCCTATCCCAGGGGTATTCCAGGAGTGGACTACGTGGGGAACTTACAGTACAGAGCATTTCTCCCATCAGGCACTGCTGCACGAGAGAGATCCTCCCACTGGAATGTACCGTTAAGTGGATTATCCCTCCGTGCAGCAGAACCGGCAATTTATAGTAAAACACAACTTTTTGAATATTAGGATGATTTGCACGAATGGACGTTCGGTAGATAGCTGGGGTCTGAGCGCATCATTCGTGAGATTACCGCTCAGATCCCAGCTAAAACAACCGAACGCCGCACGAAAAACATATTCACCAAAACATGCATTTAAAAGACCGATTGGCATATGGGGAATAAAATGCCAAACGGCCCGGAACTCCCGAACAGCCTGGAAGTCCAGCGGTGTTTGCGCCGTCGAGTAGCCGTTTTTAGTACCACACATTTGACGACCAAACACCGCTGGAGGAACAAAGGATCCAAGATGGCCGACCGCCGCGTGGTCGGTAGTCAAACAACGGCCACCTAGGAGACCCTCTAATTACCGATTGCAACATTGTTGCAATCGGTTAACAAGCACCACACGTCTCTTAATGTGTGGGCTATTACAGGGGGGTTTATTCGGTTCACGAACGGCCCCCAAAGGTGCCGTTCGTGAAACGAAATGAAATACAGCTATCTGCTTTCGGCAGATAGCTAATACAGGCAATACAATACTATACAGTCAGCATACATTACACCCAGGAACATACAGGCAACCCTTAAAGCCACAGTCTCTGTATAATGTCCAGGTGGCTAGGTTTGCCACAATAAGAGATGGACTATTTCCCCAAACTAGCATCTCCTTGCTTGGCGTATATAATATTCTTCTTTTTGGCACTTAAAGGGCCATTATAGGCACCCAGACCACTTCAGCTCAATGAAGTGGTCTGGGTGCCAGGTCCATCTAGGTTTAACCCTGCCTGCTGTAAACATAGCAGTTTCAGAGAAACTGCTATGTTTACATATGGGTTAATCTGGCCTCTAGTGGCGGTCTCATTGACAGCCGCTAGAGGTGCTTCCGCGCTTCTCACTGTGATTTTCACAGTGAGAAGACGCTGACATCCATAGGAAAGCATTGAGAATGCTTTCCTATGGACTGACTGAATGCGCGCGCGGCTCTTGCCGCGCATGCGCATTCAGCCGATGACGTCGGAAGGAGGAAGAGAGTCCCCAGCGCCGATGGAGCCCGCTCTGGAGAAAGGTAAGAATTTAACCCCTTCCTCCCCCTTCAGCCCGGCGGGAGTGGGACCCTGAGGGTGGAGGGGACCCAAAGACCCTATACAGCCAGGAAAACCTAGTTTGTTTTCCTGGCACTATAATGGTCCTTTAACATCCAGCTGATTCAAATCCATTCAAAGTTGCCGAAAAGCTTTTGTTTATGTCAGATGTTCCACTTTGCAAAGTCCATCACTGACTTCTCATTTAACAAGAATAGCACTTCCTTACATGAAACACTGGATTTGGTTGTGGTAACCTCTTCGGGGATGGTCCGCAACCCCTAAATGGCAAAAATAAATGAATAAAATGGCGGACTGAGGAGAGGACAGGGGTGGCACGTTCATCCAACCTTTCAGCTCTCGATTACTTCCTGTGAACAAATCTGATGGAGCGAGTGTACAAAACACGTATACTTGAGGAGCTCACAGAGAATATCCATGCAGTAATTCAGCGCTAGAACCTCAAACATTAACTAATGTTATGAACAATGCAATCAAAAGAACTCGACTCTGCGAGGTGGCAAATGGTGGTCATTTCATAGATATCATATTCTGTACTTAGTCAAACAAATCTCCATACACTAAGTATTCATTCTAGGTAATATCACAAAAATGTATTCATTAATAAAGTTATTATTACCCTGACACGCAAAACAAAAAGTACAACCCCTTAAATTGTCAAAAAAAAGTATGACACAAACGGAAATGGGATTCTAGGACAGGTGCACAAGCAAATATCTAAGGATAGAAAAGAGCAAGTGTTGCATGCCCAATTCACATGAAATATAGTACAAATGGATGCAAAATAAAATGGTCTATGTTATTTACATGATATTAACATCTAGAGACACCAGCAGATTGTTCCCAAGTAACAAATCATCATTAGACATGCTTGTACTGTGCAGTGAGTACTAGGGCCATAAAGGGAGTGCTTCAGCCGAGCTCTCGGTCTCGCACAATATGTTGGGGTTTGGCCAGGATTCTGTCTGTCAGCCTGGTTTGCATAAGGCCAGGTTGACATGCCAATTCAGTGGGCAGGCACTCCTACTTCCAAGGCAGGCCCGCCCATTTTGGGTATTGTGAGAGACGCAAGTTGTGTCAGTAGTGTCTGTTAAAGGGAGGGTGCTTTCTGAGTGATGGGAGAGGCCAAATTTTGTGGAACTGCTTGAAATTTTTTGACAAAATAAATAAGTAAAAACAGAGGATGACATTCATAGACCTGTAGCAATATAACCACTACCCTTAGCTGTAACTGATATGGTGCTTAGACTGCCCCTGTAATATTGAAATTTAAATCTTCTATTGTTAACATATACCCAGTATGTAGTATGGTTTATTGCCCTGTTAATATAAAACACTCTGCATTGACGAGGAAAAATGAATTGATGTATGAATTTAGAATGCACTGACATGACTGATAACACAATAAGTAAGAATATAGCATATATGAATGTGTAGATTCCGCAGATGCTATATATTCAGAAGGTCAAATTCCCCTAACAGCAAAAAAAAAAAAAAAGTAAAATTAAAGAAAATTAAGGGACTCTACATAAAAGTAACTGACAGAAAAATTAAATCACATATTATACTATAATACTGTTGAGGTACAAGCAACAATCTTCACTTATGGGAACAATATTTTCTAAAAATAAAGTCAGTGGTCAATCAGTAATGATAAGCCATATTAAATACCCCCAACATTTCAAACAAACAAACAACAACGAACTTGAATGACTTCTAGACTTGTTCTGGAGGTGTTAAACCAGGAATCCTGTGGTCTACTTAAACCAATTAATGTAACTGAAAAAGAAACGTAGAACAAGACCAAAGTATTTGAAATACAGATTATTTAACCCTTTAAGGACACAACTTCAGAAATAAAAGGGAACCATGACGGAATATTTCCGTCATGCGTCCTTAAGGGTTTAATGGACTTGTATTTACAATACTTTACAAAAACATTATTATGCATTTTATCACTGAGTGACTCTGTGATACATTCATACAAACCACACACCATTATAAAAATTTAGAAAACAAATGTGTGGAGCTCCTAGAACTGCGGGACACCTGGGATATGTACTTTAAATCACAACTTTGACTACAAAAGATAATTTAATGTAAGACTGTAGGTCAACACAAAACAAACGTATAGTAAATATTGTGCTAAGTAACAGTGCCAACATGTACATCAACACGTGTACAATGGCCGTAAGCATGTAAACTGCAACCAAATAATGGATGCAATAACTACAGAAGAACAAAGACAACACGTGTAAAAAAATAAAGAAAATAGTATCCATACTCAAAAACCAATAACAATATAACACATTAATAAAGTAAAAATGGCAAAAATATAAAAAGCAAACAATAATGGTACGTCTTCAATGAGAAAATGATATGGGATCTCTAATACCCGATAAGTCAAACTATGAAGATTGTGGCAGGCAGGGTGACGACATGATCAAAATATAGAATTCAAGGTGGATGTCAATTGATTACAAATTGTGTAGACCACCACGACCCACGAAACAAGATGTAGAAACATGCTACTGGAGATACAGGATTTATTTTTTTCCATTTTGGGTTTTTGCAGACTTTTTTTGTATTAGTTTATTAGCAGACTAATTTTCTATGTCTACAATATTGGATTATTATTCCATACCGATCTACAGTCTTATGATAACAGTTTCATTACAGCCATAAGTACATTGTTTCTACTCGATCACACAGTGACCCACTGACTTTCCTTTTAGATAAGTGTGTTCCTACATGTGACATATTCAGAGTAAGTCACATGATTTTGATATTACTGCACATGGCTCTCAGAACAACCATCAGGAGATGTCACTTACGAATTTTCCGTAGTTTCCCGCGACAGGACGCGCATGTCTCTCGCAGCAGCTGGTATTTGATTGCTAGGTTGGCTTTGCCAGTTTCCAGACGGGGACGGAGAGATAGGTTTTTTTGAGCAAGTTCAAAATTAGATGCTAGAGAGGTTTTTCTCTCCTCCTGAAGCGACTGCACCTATAGAACAGAAGAGAGAGATAGAGGAAGGTACAGAGGCAAAGAATTGCATATGTAGAAGGCATTAAGAAAAGGAAAAAGGTAGACTTATACGTAACCTTTACACTTGTAATAAAAGACTTTCTGCAGAGCAATGTCATTCCAACAGAGAAAGTAAGAACACAAAAGGTATACAAGTGTGTTACTACAGAACTTGCTTTAACAAAGTCTCAAAAGCCAAAATCATGATTGGAGAAAACAAGTACTAGGAGAGGGGTAGGGAACCTTCGGCACCCCAGATGTTGTGGACTACATCCCCCATAATGCTCTTGCTGGCAAAGCATCATGGGAGGTGTAGTCCAAAACATCTGGAGTGCTGAAGGTTGCCCATGCCTGCACTAGGGATTGAATATAGATAAAAAGTAAGTCACAGCAATGGGATATTATCAGACCAGGGCATAGTCCAGAAGATTCAGACTGAGTTAACTAGTGCTGGGTGAGTAAAGTGTAATCGACAGTGTCTTGATTTGCACTATCACAACTTTATGAGCTTAATATCTTCTACATCAGATGATAAACATCATAGGGTTATATACTCGATACATAAAAAGAATCATTGCTCATAAGTAAGTTAATATTATTTACCCACTGGAAAATATATTGCGTCTATCTGGCCCAAGATTTATCAAAAGGCACACTTCTTATTGTTTTAATTGTCCCAATAAGACAATTAAAACAATAAGATTAGAGGGACAAAGGTTTAAAAATAATACCAGGAAGTATTACTTTACTGAGAGGGTAGTGGATGCATGGAATAGCCTTCCAGCTGAAGTGGTAGAGGTTAACACAGTAAAGGAGTTTAAGCATGCGTGGGATAGGCATAAGGCTATCCTAACTATAAGATAAGGCCAGGGACTAATGAAAGTATTTCGAAAATTGGGCAGACTAGATGGGCCGAATGGTTCTTATCTGCTGTCACATTCTATGTTTCTAGGTTAAGAGTGATGGCTGGTCTTGAATCAGGCTTGTGTTTTAAAACATAATTTAATGGCGCTGTGTTTGTATAAATATCTAGTGTGGGTTGATGTGTCTCTGAAAATGGGTAGGAGAATATGTTCTACTAAAATCTGCAATTGTTATAAAAAGGGCAATTTACTCTACAACTCAAGCCTGTACACATTCTATATCAAAATGTACAAAAAGGGTGCTAATAATCTAGGAATGACGTGGTTTTAGATAACAATAGAGTTTAGTAGACAGGTAATGAAATGTGAACTATGGTATGGACAGACAGACAACATGAAGTCACTGCTGAAGAGAACATTCATAATTACAATATAGGTCAAAGATGGAGGAAACAATATAAAACTTACATGGATATGGTTGGTCTTGAAGAATCAGGCAAGTGTTCAAAACATGCAAACGTCAAAGTATACACAGGCTTTTAGCTATCACCCTATGCAATCATGCGCAATTATTGTATCAATAATATTTATGGAACCATTATAAAACAATCCCATGTAAAAAGTAATGAATTGGGCATGACAATTTCTCATTTCCATTCATGAATAGTAATGGTTATACTTTGACTGCTTTTGTGGACTTTAGAGCAGATGATACCCACTCCAGTCAAATGGGATCCGTAAGGCGGAACCCCAAAAATACAAAACGTAAAATTAACCATTACTGTCGAACAAATAGATATGGGGTTTATTTACTAAACTAAGAACTGTATAAAGCTGACAAAGGACTGCAAATTTTAGGTTAAGAAATCTGTACTGAAAAAAAGCTAACCCATCTATTTATTTTTGTTCTTAAAATGTTATTCTTAAAATTTGCAATTCCTCTGTCGATTATTCTCCTCCCATTGTAATGAATAACACGTATATAACAATTCCAGTAAGATATAGACAAAAAAAAACACGAAGGGAGAGTAAAAATAGTTAAAGTAAAGGACACAATGTATATAGCCAAATAGAAAACGATATAAACAGAATAAAAGGAGATGGGCATTGAGTGATAAACCGATGATAATGCAGGTAAACAGACACACAACATGCAGTATAAGCCAAAAAAGACAAAAACACAAAGGAAGGATAGAGGCCAGACAATCACCAGGAGGAAAGGAAGGAGAGAACAAAGAAGAGATGTAAGCGGAGGGTGATGTAAAGAATAGATGGCTAAATGACAGGGGGGAAAAGAAGATATTCTGAGGGATCAGTGCCTGGATACAAAGCCTGTCACCAGCAGGCCTGCAATACCATAACAAACACACCGGCAAATGGCAATGTCTCTTCATCAAGCAACATCTATAGCTGTATGTGACAAATGTGTTGCAGATGTGTGTTCTACATTTACTGGAGAAACTCAAATAGCCTGCACGGGGCCAGAATACATCTGTACAGATTTGGAGGCCTGTGTGGACGTATGCATCACGAAGGCTCCACAGGTTCTGTGTACATCACAAGGCTGTACCATAGCTACAGGCTGTGTGTAAATCATAAGAAGGATATGTGGGTGGTACAGGCCCAGTCTGGGGATGCTACAATCTCTGCCTATACATATAAATACGTAGGGATGTTACAGGCTGCCTGGGTACAATACAATAGATGATATGGGTCTTTCCCAAATACAATGGAAGTGAATGGAAGATGCATGCTTGCACAACAGTCTAAATATATTTACACATATGTGTGTGTTGTAATGCCTATTCATGTAGACTAGGTGTGGATATTAATACTGGATCTACATCTTTGGGCTATGGTCAGTGCTATAGGCCCTGAACAGACATCAACACAGTGTATTCATCCTCTGAGCTCAGGATGGTCTCAATCACAGCCTGCTCACTGGAGTGATGTATCCAGCTCTGAATAGCTATGTTTATTTACAAACAATGGAATAGGTGGCTGTGTGTATGCCCTGGGGTTCCATAGATAGAACAGTGTACAGCAATGAAGGAAGGCACTGCTTCCTTCACCATAATGAGGGATAAGCACTTAACAATGGTTGCAGGTAATATTATGTATGTGGAAATCACTGGGCCCTGTAGACTGAAGAGTTGGCTACACGGTGGACACAATGAAACTCACTGGGGGATGTTTGCATCATGTACACAGTACGGATGCCTATAGGTGATGCCATCTGCACCTATAGAACCCTATAGACTGGTTAAATAAAGGAGGGTTGGGTAAGATTATTCAGGCTCAATCTCTATAGCAGCTAGGAGGGGAGCTGCACCTATAGACCACAAGAGTCTATAGGTGATGGGGGCACATTGCATACCTATAGGGGTGTGCATATGTACAATTTGGGGTATGATGAGGGCTATCAACAGGCAGGGTGTACAGTTTGCTCTATGTCTCAGGTGATGTATGTACATAGCAACACACATAGATCCCTATACACACACAGACCCTATAGACAGACACACACAGAGACCCCTGTAGACACACAGAGAGACCCCTATAGCCAGACAGACCCCTATAGCCAGACAGACCTCTATAGACACACATACAGACCCTATAGCCAGACAGACCCCCATAGACACACATACAGACCCCTATGGTCAGACAGACCCCTATAGACACACATACAGACCCTATAGCCAGACAGACCCCCATAGACACACCCCTATGGTCAGACAGACCCCTATAGACACACATACAGCCCCTATAGTCAGACAGACCCCCATAGACACACATACAGCCCCTATAGTCAGACAGACCCCCATAGACACACAGACAGCCCCCTATAGTCAGACAGACCCCCATAGACACACATACAGCCCCCTATAGCCAGACAGACCCCCATAGACACACATACAGCCCCCTATAGCCAGACACAGAGAGCTGGGAGAGGCGGTAGCCCCGGTACCTGCTCGCTCAGGCGGACGATGCGCTGCAGTTTGCCCTCGTCCTGCAGAAGCTGCCGCAGCTGCTCGGTGCTCAGTACCCCGAACCGCTCCGATGGGCTGGAGCCGCCGCCGCTGGCCTCCGGGGAAGGATCGGGGCGGGCGGTGGGCTTCGAGCTGCTGGGCTCCGAGGGCGGATGGGGGCGAGTGACCCCCGGCTTGGCGCTGTCGTGCTCCGGGGACGGATGGGAGCGGCTCCCCGGGTTCATGCTGCCGGGCTCCGGGTCCACTCTCAATCCGCGGTCCCCGCAGTCTGCAGCGGGGGGTGCATTACCCGGAGCGGCCACCAGAGGGCGCCAAGAGCCTTCTCTATGTGTTCATCGCGTAGAGTAGGAGCTGCCGCCTGGAGCTGTGTATACCTATACCCAGTGCTAAATATACAGCCTCACTGTACATCCACACAGAGATATATACAGCCTCACTGTACATCCACACACAGATATATACAACCTCACTGTACATGAACACACAGATATATACAGCCACACTGTACATCCACACAGAGATATATACAGCCTCACTGTACATCCACACACAGATATATACAACCTCACTGTACATGAACACACAGATATATACAGCCTCACTGTACATCCACGCACATATACAGCCTCACTGTACATCCACACAGAGATATATACAGCCTCACTGTACATCCACACACAGATACAGCCTCACTGTACATCCACACACAGATATATACAGCCACACTGTACATCAACAAACACATATACAGCCTCACTGTACATCAACAGAGATATATACAGCCACACTGTACATCAACACACAGATGCAGCCTCACTGTACATCAACACACAGATATATACAGCCTCACTGTACATCAACACACAGATACAGCCTCACTGTACATCCACACACATATACAGCCACACTGTACATCCACACACATATACAGCCACACTGTACATCAACACACAGATATATACAGCCTCACTGTACATCCACACACAGATACAGCCTCACTGTACATCAACACACATATATATACAGCCTCACTGCACATCAACACACATACAGCCTCACTGTACACCCACACACAGATATATACAGCCTCACTGTACATCAACACACATATACAGCCTCACTGTACATCCACTCACAGATATATACCGCCTCACTGTGCATCCACACACAGATATATACAGCCTCACTGTACATCAACACACAGATATACAGCCACACTGTACATCCACACACAGATACAGCCTCACTGTACATCAACACACAGATATATACAGCCACACTGTACATCAACACACAGATATACAGCCACACTGTACATCCACACACAGATACAGCCTCACTGTACATCCACACACAGATACAGCCTCACTGTACATCCACACACAAATATATACAGCCTCACTGTACATCAACACACAGATATATACAGCCACACTGTACATCAACACACACATATACAGCCACACGGTACATCAACAAACAGATATATACAGCCTCACTGTACATCCACACACAAATACAGCCTCACTGTACATCCACACACAGATATATACAGCCACACTGTACATCAACACACACATATACAGCCACACGGTACATCAACACACAGATACAGCCTCACTGTACATCAACACACAGATATATACAGCCTCACTGTACATCAACACAGAGATATATACAGCCACACTGTACATCAACACACAGATACAGCCTCACTGTACATCTACAGATACAGCCTCACTGTACATCAACACAGAGATATATACAGCCACACTGTACATCAACACACAGATACAGCCTCACTGTACATCAACAAACAGATACATACAGCCTCACAGTACATCAACACAGAGATATATACAGCCACACTGTACATCAACACACAGATACAGCCTCACTGTACATCAACAAACAGATACATACAGCCTGACTGTACATCAATACACAGTTACATATAAAGCCTCACTGTACATCCACACACAGATACAGCCTCACTGTACATCAACACACAGATATATACAGCCTCACTGAACATCAACACACACATATACACAGCCACACTGTACATCAACACACAGATACAGCCTCACTGTACATCCACACACAGATACAGCCTCACTGTACATCAACACACAGATATATACAGCCACACTGTACATCAACACACACATATACAGCCACACTGTACATCAACACACAGATACAGCCTCACTGTACATCCACACACAGATATACAGCCACACTGTACATCAACACACACATATACAGCCACACTGTACATCCAACACACAGATACAGCCTCACTGTACATCAACACACAGATATATACAGCCTCACTGTACATCAACAGACAGACTATATACAGCCACACTGTACATCAACACACAGATACAGCCTCACTGTACATCTACACACAGATATATACAGCCTCACTGTACATCCACACACAGATACAGCCTCACTGTACATCAACACACAGATATATACAGCCTCACTGTACATCAACACACAGATACAGCCTCACTGTACATCCAAACACAGATATATACAGCCTCACTGTACATCCACACACAGATATATACAGCCTCACTGTACATCCACACACAGATATATACAACCTCACTGTACATCAACACACACATATACAGCCACACTGTACATCCACACACAGATACAGCCACACGGTACATCAACACACAGATACAGCCTCGCTGTACATCAACACACAGATATATACAGCCTCACTGTACATCAACAGAGATATATACAGCCACACTGTACATCCACACACAGATACAGCCACACGGTACATCAACACACAGATACAGCCACACTGTACATCAACACACAGATACAGCCCCACTGTACATCCACACACAGATACAGCCTCACTGTACATCAACACACAGATATATACAGCCTCACTGTACATCAACACACAGATACAGCCTCACTGTACATCCACACACATATACAGCCACACTGTACATCCACACACATATACACCCACACTGTACATCAACACACAGATATATACAGCCTCACTGTACATCCACACACAGATACAGCCTCACTGTACATCAACACACATATATATACAGCCTCACTGCACATTAACACACATACAGCCTCACTGTACACCCACACACAGATATATACAGCCTCACTGTACATCAACACACATATACAGCCTCACTGTACATCCACACACAGATATATACCGCCTCACTGTGCATCCACACACAGATATATACAGCCTCACTGTACATCAACACACAGATATACAGCCACACTGTACATCCACACACAGATACAGCCTCACTGTACATCAACACACAGATATATACAGCCACACTGTACATCAACACACAGATATACAGCCACACTGTACATCCACACACAGATACAGCCTCACTGTACATCCACACACAGATACAGCCTCACTGTACATCCACACACAAATATATACAGCCTCACTGTACATCAACACACAGATATATACAGCCACACTGTACATCAACACACACATATACAGCCACACGGTACATCAACAAACAGATATATACAGCCTCACTGTACATCCACACACAAATACAGCCTCACTGTACATCCACACACAGATATATACAGCCACACTGTACATCAACACACACATATACAGCCACACGGTACATCAACACACAGATACAGCCTCACTGTACATCAACACACAGATATATACAGCCTCACTGTACATCAACACAGAGATATATACAGCCACACTGTACATCAACACACAGATACAGCCTCACTGTACATCTACAGATACAGCCTCACTGTACATCAACACAGAGATATATACAGCCACACTGTACATCAACACACAGATACAGCCTCACTGTACATCAACAAACAGATACATACAGCCTCACAGTACATCAACACAGAGATATATACAGCCACACTGTACATCAACACACAGATACAGCCTCACTGTACATCAACAAACAGATACATACAGCCTGACTGTACATCAACACACAGTTACATATAAAGCCTCACTGTACATCCACACACAGATACAGCCTCACTGTACATCAACACACAGATATATACAGCCTCACTGAACATCAACACACAGATATATACAGCCTCACTGTACATCAACACACACATATACACAGCCACACTGTACATCAACACACAGATACAGCCTCACTGTACATCCACACACAGATACAGCCTCACTGTACATCAACACACAGATATATACAGCCACACTGTACATCAACACACACATATACAGCCACACTGTACATCAACACACAGATACAGCCTCACTGTACATCCACACACAGATATATACAGCCACACTGTACATCAACACACACATATACAGCCACACGGTACATCAACACACAGATACAGCCTCGCTGTACATCAACACACAGATATATACAGCCTCACTGTACATCAACAGAGATATATACAGCCACACTGTACATCAACACACAGATACAGCCTCACTGTACATCTACACACAGATATATACAGCCTCACTGTACATCCACACACAGATACAGCCTCACTGTACATCAACACACAGATATATACAGCCTCACTGTACATCAACACACAGATACAGCCTCACTGTACATCCAAACACAGATATATACAGCCTCACTGTACATCCACACACAGATATATACAGCCTCACTGTACATCCACACACAGATATATACAACCTCACTGTACATCAACACACACATATACAGCCACACTGTACATCCACACACAGATACAGCCACACGGTACATCAACACACAGATACAGCCTCGTTGTACATCAACACACAGATATATACAGCCTCACTGTACATCAACAGAGATATATACAGCCACACTGTACATCCACACACAGATACAGCCACACGGTACATCAACACACAGATACAGCCACACTGTACATCAACACACAGATACAGCCCCACTGTACATCCACACACAGATACAGCCTCACTGTACATCAACACACAGATATATACAGCCTCACTGTACATCAACACACAGATACAGCCTCACTGTACATCCACACACAGATACAGCCACACTGTACATCCACACACATATACAGCCACACTGTACATCAACACACAGATATATACAGCCTCACTGTACATCCACACACAGATACAGCCTCACTGTACATCCACACACAGATACAGCCTCACTGCACATCAACACACATACAGCCTCACTGTACACCCACACACAGATATATACAGCCTCACTGTAC